ACTGCTTATGTATATCGCGAGACACATGGCTCGTATATGAACGCTGATTTCTTCGGTGAAAAATACTCACGTGGCACAAATCAGCTATAGTTTGTTGGCAAATATAGTTGCTCGGTAATAAATAGCGTCGTGATCGGCAAAAATGCACCACATAAGATTAGTACGACTGTGATATATCAATCAGAACGCGCCGATCCAAAAAGCTTGAAAGTCTATACATGTATATATAGGCGTCGATCTAAATGCTGTGCGTGAAATTCGCGCTTATAGGTCGGCTTAGCGGCGAGGATTAAATCGCGCTCGCATGAGATATATAACACGAGATTCGTAACGACTCGCGGAGAGAGCTACCACGACGCACTGCTCACTCACACACATACACCACTCAGTATATAAGAGTCGGCGCGCGAGCGAGCGACTGTGATGCTCGAGCCCTCATGACATTGCAAACGGCTCGCAACTCGACTCTCGGGTATTAAGACATCAATGTGATGAGCATTAATGAGCCGTAATGTATACTCAGGACTTTTTTCTGCACCCGGCGCATAAAAAAAATTTATTAAAATATCTTACCGTTTACCCTAACGGGATATATGTTCGGAGATTAGTATATGTATGCGCACGCGGCGTATAAGTACGCAGAAGTATTAAAAAAGGCGCGACACACTTTTTCGCTTCGCGCGAGCTGACTTTTATTCACTTATGTGCGCGCGTCTCGAAAATGGAAATTTGCGCTTGCATTTAAAATTAGTCTTCGATACGCCGGCTTACATATAGACTCAGCTGCTGCTGCGCGACTTTCGCGAATGAAAAATCTATTTAGCGCACTCTCATTTTTTTTTCTCGCAAATCTCGTGTATAGCAGATCCGACATAAGATGAAAACGCGTGCTCGTGACATGCGTTTTCGTCGTCGTCATTGTATGTAGCTCTCTCGCTTTGGCGCTTATAGCACACAACGAAAAAGTCGCCAACGCGTTTATATATTGAAAAAGTTGAAGCTCGGTAATATATATCGCGGCTTTAGACCGGACGGCGCATGGGATATAGCCTCGAGGGAGTCGTATAATGCTTTAATCGCCGAGGCTGGAAACGCAGCGTACGCTGCGGCAGCGGCGATCGGACGACGACGACGAGCTGCTATTCGACATTGCAAAGTACTCCACGCACACACGTGCACATTTATATAGAATCGAAAGTACGCAGTCGTCGCGCGCTGTACAACGAGCCACCCCGCGGAGTTTTTGCGCTCGCGACCTTATCTCTCCTTATGGACGATAGAGCCGCCCAGAGAGAGAGAGAGAGAGAGAGAGGAATGAAACATCGCTTCTCGAGTCGCGGGCCAGCGCGTTAAACGATTCAATTTACGCGCAACTCAGCTTTATGGACCGTCGCTCGTTGCTATTATCATTATTATTAAATATATATCGTTGCCGGGCAGCTCGCGTCATTCGAGAGAAAGAACCTGGATTATTACGTCACTGCGCTGATATAGTCAAGTGCGCTCGACTGCCATCATCCTCCTCATCATGCGTACGTATCATACTGAGTGCAAAACATTGACGATCTTATTTATGGCCTTTTGATGAGACTACGACGACGACAGCGAAATTTGCTAATAACTTCGGAGCAATGTATAGCTATAGCCTACATTATACATATTTACTGTACATTAAAAATAAAATACATTAGCCGGTTATTTGGCACTCGAGTGCATGGGTGTACGCGATAATTGTGCCTTACGCCGTGATATGCGAGAGGAAGAGGGAGTAAAATTTTCTCCGGTCAGATCGCAATCGCATCCACGTCGCGATAACTATGCCACCGCTGCAGTGCTACTTGGCATACACGTGCGGGCCACGCCGCTATATTATGCATTATATAGTTTACGTACGGCACGTCCGGAGCAACAGCAGTGCACGAGACTCACGAGGCTTAAGATTCGCGCCTATCGTCCGTCGAGATCTCGCTCTCTCGCTCTCTCTCTCTCTCTCTCTCTCTCTATCTGACCGCGCGCACAAACGAACGCGAGTAGTAGCTCCGCATGCGTGAAGTCGGCAGTACGACTAATGCTCTCCGCTCTCGCACTAACTGCCAGTGTCTTATGGCACTGTTATATTATGGCGTGCGTGGGTGGGCCGGACGTGCGCGCGCGTAAAGTCAAGAAAAAGCTCGGATTAAGCGCGCGCGCGTAGGCCGTGCCGTCTAAAGCCTGCAGCTCGTGCGACTCGTGCGGAAGGGCTCGTCGTCGTCGTCGTCGTCGTAGTAGTCTCGTCAATTTCCATGCGCGAACGTAGCCACCACCGGTTTATCGAGAGCCTTACCTATTATACCGGCCGGCATCACTGCTGCTGCCTTTCATATAGGCAACGACGAAGCGAGATTAGAGAAATGACCGAGCGCGCGATTATATAGTACTCGAGCTTGTATAAGTATTGCACTCGAGAGTCCAGAGAGAGAGAGAGAGAAAGGGAGACTAATAGCCGTGCGCTAAACGGCTAATGAATCCAAAGATGAATTACCGATTAGCGCGCGAGTCGAGTGCGCGCGTTAACCTATAGATTAACCGATAAGCCGCGGCGGCCTGATGCCTCTCTATATAAATGCAGGCGCGCAAGAGCTTTTAAATGCTCGCTTGAGTCTTGGATTTATGGTTTCGTCGCCGTCGTCGTCGGCGATTCTCGAGGCTATTATTTATACGCGTATGGCTCTACGCGTACGGATATGCCCTAGCGTGTGGAGGATAACGACTCTTATGCCATTGCTTGCTGCCAACATTATCGTGTCAATTAAGATCTGTGACGTGAATTTTAACCTCTGGAGGAATTCGTTAAACTTGCCACGTAATTATCTTTTGTAATTTTGTTGTGGCTCGTTTGTTAAGTTATCCCGTGATGTATCGATTTACACTCGAGGACTGATAGCGCATACCGCTACTTAGCACTGATACAACCGAAGCACTTTTTATATAGCAGAAAAGAACTAAGCAATTGAAAATACATCTTCAAATGTTCATGTTTATTCCATTTATTAAAACGATAAGAAAAGGTGATGGGTAGAGCAAAATCATCAAAATACCGGAAATAATCATAATGATAGCATCTGAACATTTTTCACTTTTTATCTTTGACTTCTGCCGAAAGCGGGCCAAACGCATATCGTAAATATTATTAATACTAACTTCAAATTCAATCTGTAAAAAGTTTCTTTTCAACTCTTTTTTCACTCACAAAAAACTATTGGATAAATTTTGTATGACTACATCATCTTTGCGTTATATTCAAGCTTATTTAAATAACAAATTTAGTTATAAAAGTAGCAAAAACACCTATTTTTGTATTACAGCATAAAATCATAATTTATATAGAGAAACTAAAAATAAGGTATGGGCTCTCAAGATTTTTCTACTATTCGTTTTTTAGTTACTAAATAGAATAAAAAGAGAAATGTGTCTACGATCATAAGTGCATGCTCTATTGATACATAGTCCAAAGAATGAAAAGTCACTGTAAACCATGTATCCAAAAAATATTTATTTTACTACGTAATGCTTTTTCCTCCCAAATACCATAATATTTTGAAAAGATATTAATATTAATTATAAAATTAACTTATGAACTTTAATTTTCTGTTTTCATTTACATTATTATGTCTTTACAAAAAGTATGATGGTGTTAAATTTATATTATTATTTTCTAGTACAAAATCGAAACACTTTGAAAAATAAAATTATTTTAAATGACATTTAACCACATTACAGTGAAAAAAAATCACTCTATTTTCGAAGTGACAATTGATCTATGACATTAATTATCAATGTATACAATGCATAACATGTGTGCATAATTATTATGTCGTCCAAACGCCATAAATTGCAATACTCTCCATTTACAGCGAGTATAATAAAAAAAAATATGTCGAATTCATTAACGTTTAATCAGTTTCTTATGTTAGGCGCTGCTTAATTGCTGCTATTAACTTCTCCATGTAAATGCCTTTGTATGTAATTCGTGTAACGCATACTTATTCCTTTTTATACTTACAGTGACATGTTTTTAAAAGAGAACATGTACTTACAGGACATAAATCTGGTACGGCGCACAAGATCTAAGAATTAATAGCAAAATTTTTCCCTAATTTGGAGTTCCCTGGGTATTATTAAAATTCTATATTTATCTATAAAATCCATGTTTTAAACGCATTTACGAATAAATAATATCACGTTGACAAACGTTTTTTTCTTACCTATTCGTATAACACCGATTTCGTAACTTTTTTTTATAATTGTTATCATTCTTGATTCAAACCTAACATTATTGTTGTGTTGTGACCTTTTTTATAACGATTTCTGACAAATTTTACATTCAAAGGGTTTGTTGCGTTTATGTACTGTATTCAAGTGACTTTTGAGGTTACTTTTTTGTCCAAATGATTTGTAACAAATATCACAATCGAAGGGTTTGCTACGAACATGTACTGTATTTAAGTGAAAATTGAGGTGACTCTTGTATCCAAATGATTTGTAACAAATCTCACATTCAAAAGGTTTGCTACGTTTATGTACTGCATTTACATGAACTTTAAGGTACTTTTTTTATCCAAATGATTTGTGACAAATTTCACATTCAAAGGGTTTGCTCCGATTATGTACTCCATTGATGTGAGCTTCCAGGGAACTTTTTCGTCCAAATGCTATGTGGCAAATATCACACTCGAAGGGTTTTCTCTGATAATGAACTTCACTCATATGAGTATTGAGGCTCTTCTTGTATCCAAATGATTTGTGACAAGTATCACATTCAAAGGTTTTAATGCGATTATGCACTGCATTTATGTGAAACTTAAGACGACAATTGTATCCAAACGATTTGAGACAAATCTCACATTTGAAGAGTTTGTTGCTATCATGTACTATATTTATGTGGCAATTGAGATAACTTTTTCGTTTAAACGTTTTCTGACAATTTTTACATTTAAAACGTTTGTTGAGATTATGTACTGCATTTAAGTTATTTTTTAAGGTTTTCTGATATGAAAATGATTTCACACGATCATCAACTGCATCTGTATGATTCTTGAGATGATCTTTGCTGATACATGATTTTTGGCAAATGTCACCTTTATATGTTTTAATAATATTTTGTATCGAATTGTTATTTGTACTTAAACTCACTTTTCCTTGCGTTTTTTGAATTACACTTATGAAATAATTTAGTTCTTTGTTCAAACATTTTTTTCTTTCCGAATTCGTCAAGCTTGGAATAAGGCTGTTGTTGAAATGGACTGTTGATTTCGTAATCGAATCCTTTTCTTTAAAATTATCAGTTTTTTTTATTGAAGTAACCAATCTGATTTTCGTTTTCATTTTTCACAATTGGTGGATAATTCTGAAACTCAGTTTTGCACATGGATGTCGATAAAAACTTGAGTTGAGGTTTAACATTTTTGCACTCAAAATCAACGTATACTTTTTCAACTAACTTTTCGGATAAAATAGTAGCCCCATTAACGTGGTTCGCCTAAAATTAAAATTTTCTGACAATTTTTTGATATAGTAAAATTAGGATATAATTTAAATCATTAGACTTACTGATGATTGATAAAACTTGAATTTTGCAAAGTTTTTGGCTACATAAGAGTCCACCGAATCGAAAATGTTATCGTCGCCTGAATATAGCCAAGTATCATCCGGTTCTTTCTTGATCCTAAAGAATAATTAAGTTTGATAAGGTGACTGCTTCAAAAAAATGTCTTGTATGCGCGATAAATTTCGTACCTAACTGTGTCCTCTCTGTTTTCCATGGCTCGCTCTATTGTAGTTGAATTTTCACGATATACACTGAGGAAATATTTGAGGTTAATCTCTTTGAATAGCCAACACCGTACCCCGGTTTTAAGCGCACGACCTATAATCTTTTACAGATATTATTATTTGTAAACACTTGCCCACCGAAGAATTCCCCGCGACTATACTTATGAATTAGCGAGTAGCTCCTTAGCGATGCTTTCTCCTACTACCGTTGACTAGACACACGCTGTAGTGAACTGCGATACCTACATATATTCGTATGTCATTGAACCTATACCTAAATTTTAATGAATTTTTATTCATTATAAATAGAAAAACATTCACACAAAAGAAAATATAATCTGTACCGATACAGTAAATACAGATATTACACTGTGATATTACTGAAGTTCAATTAGTTATTAAAGCTTTATCTTTTTTTACTCTTAAAAAAAGCATGCTCGAAATAAACGTCATATTTAGGTAGATGACGCGCGATGCAATCAGCGCTGGTCGCGAAATTTCTGACAACGTGACCGAGCTCGGTTACAGTTTGGCCTGAAAAGTGCTAGCAGTTTAACATAATTGAAACAGACTAACATAAGTTGAAGAAATTATGCCATGATCTAAAAACTATTATTGATGAAAATCGTATAATTTGATTTCAGTGCTTCATCAAAGATGATACGATCAGAGATCTGAAAGCGAGGAAGGGTGCGATAAGTAAAAGCTCACCGTAACGCAAGCATGGGTCGAGCCTATGCGACGCTGTGGTCCCTGCTTCTCTTGGCGCTGTGCTGCTTCGAGTCCGGCGGCGCGAAGCGACCGGGCGATTCCATCGAGCCGTCGATCGAGGACGTTTTCGGGGCCCAGCGCCGTTCGCCCGCGGGCCACCATGGCAAACAGCAACAACAGCAGCATTCCAGCGGCGGCATCGGCAGCCTCGGCGCGGGCTTATCCAGCGCCGGTCAGGCCAACTCGCCGTACCTGCCCTACATCACGAAAGAACGCAAGCCCAACATCGTGCTGATCCTCACCGACGATCAGGACGTCGAGCTCGGTAAGGAATTTGCAATTTTGTCTCCGCGTGTTCCCGCGATATCCTCCGCAATTTTCTTCTCTCCCTTAAATTAATCCGTCGTGGGTGGATTGCGCAACGTTGATTTACGCATGCGAAAAGTCGAACCGCATCTTACACCTACGCGGATTTATAATACCGCTCCGGGCGTCAAAGTGATTGAAGTGCGATGTTATCTTTGACATACTGCGGATCCGGACTATATGCGTGTTTTATATGAAGCACGCGCGCGTAAATATTTTACGCTCATTGGTCAACACGCGCGCGGCTGTACAAAAACAAGCAACAAAATATGCATTAGCATTAAAGACAGCTCTCCGTCGGGAGGAAAAGAAGATTACACTCAAAGCTGGATCAGAATCGCGCGTAAAAAATCCCATACGGCCGCGACGCGCGTTGTACCGGCGTAAGGTGTACACGCGGAGAGTACACATATACCAGTAGGCGCACACGCTCCACAGGTTTTGCAATCGCACGTATACATAAATATGTAAATACTCGGATAAGCTCTTCCTTTATACGTGCACACATACACACATACACATACGTACGAGAAAAAAATTCATATGAATTTATATACTGACGTTATACGCATAATAAAACGGCTTCAAATATACTGAGAGAGCTGCAATAGCGGGAAAAGGTTGAGTAAAAAAGAATTATTTTTCATAGCAAAACAAGACGAGCTTCTACGTTTATGGCGTATACCTTGGCCTACGCCTCGTATTTGTGAGCGCGGCCGTCGGGAAAAGTATACGAAAAATAATTGCATTTACGAGGAGTAATGCAAAAACGAAATGGCAATAAAAATTTGTACCTCGAGAATCAATTTGAATTTTTCAATGTTTACGAGACTACATAATCGTTAAAATTACTTTCAAAGGAAAAGCTTTTCAAAAATGTGTAATGATCTTACCTGCTATGTAAAAACACTTCTAGAATATTGACACCTAAAACAGTTTTCGATTTTTCATACAGAATAAGTGAATTTTTTATAGTCATAGAAAATATTAAATTATATCTCTTGAAAAGCTCTCTTTTATATCAATTTATTCGCACGGAACTCGTATGCTCCATAATAAAAAAAAGTTCCACCCACGAGTAATCCCATTATACGCACACAGACACGAGAAATTAAATTTTATATACTCTCAAGTTAGAGACGAGATGAAAGTTTTTTTTTCCTATTCCTCAAGGCTCGCTGAACTACATGCCGCAGACCTTGAGACGCATCAGGGACGAGGGTGCAGAATTGCGCCACGCTTACGTCACGACGCCGATGTGTTGTCCCAGCAGGAGCTCGCTCCTCACCGGACGTTACATGCACAATCACGAGGTGTTTACCAACAACGACAACTGCAGCAGCCCTCAGTGGCAGAGGGAGCACGAGCCGCACAGCTTCGCCACTTACCTCAGCAACGCCGGCTACCGTACTGGTTAGTATATCGAGCTTAGCTCGTAATTCATTTTATTCTTACATGTTAATCAGTTGGAGTTATTTTTATATTATCTTTTACTTTTTTAAATATATTTTAAAGGTGCATTTCTGGAGCACCAGCATTTGGTATACTTTGCTTTCTAAAATTTGATTTTTGGGGTCAAAATTTTTCGGATTATCATTATAAACGTATCACTTTTATAATATTTTATGCATTTAAATCTTGTCATAACTTTAGAGGCTACAGCATATATGTAATTTCATTTTTAAGCGCCCATTCATTTACATAATTTAAATTAAAAGATTAACCTTTCCGCTTAGTAAAATAACTTTAAAAAATTAGGTAATGAATCAACATAAACTGTGAGAAAATGCCTAGTAAATATAATTTTATAACTTTTGTTTATCTTTATTCGTTCTTGTTTATGGATTTTTCATTCTGAAAAATATTATTCACGACAGAATTTTTGAAAAATGTGAGATGTTCGAGTAAAATACACCGGTTTTGATAGATCGAAAAAGCTTTTTTGATAGTAGTACTCTATCAAATTATAAGTTCGATTAATCTGTTTGAAACGGGCAAACCAATCTTTCAAAAAAATAAAAATTTTTCGATATCAATATAGTCGTGATCGAATCACGTATTTCGTTGCTTTTTTCCATTAAAAGAAAATTAACATTTTGAATAAGATCAAGCATCGAAACCGCACCGCATCGATTTCCAAGACTTGTCTGCTCCCACGAGGCTGCACCACTCGCTGGCCAAATATTTGCCGCACTCTAGAGCTGTCATACACGATTCTTCTAACAAATCACATACGAGTTTATCTTTGAAACGTGAACATTGGATTTTATATCCCGCTGCTCTCAACTTGTTTCAAAACTATATTTATCGGCGTTTCAACATATTGTATATTTATACGCAGTATGCACGCGTATATCTATATCGAAGTGCATAAACACGATTGCCCTTACATCCATTTGCAGCTGGCGTAAGTTCACGCTTCTCCACGCGAGCCGTAGCGAGCGATGAAAGTGCGTCACTTAGACTCACTTTTAGTGCAATTCATCGTGATGCATTCACGCGCAGCTCCGTTATCGTTTATCCGTAGACTTTTGACAAGTTTTCAAATCGTCCGTTCGAGAAGGCGAGCTTTGCAAAAAGACGCACAAAGAAACGTCTCGTGGCATACGTTAATAAAAGCCAGTTAGAGTTGCTTTTTGCTCTTGTATCATTGATTGTAGTACTTTTTTCACACATTTAAAAGTTTTACAATGTTCATTCGAAGCATAACTCGATAATGTAACGTATTAGAGGTTTATTTAGCAGCTGTACAATTATTATTATTTTTCTTTACTTTCCTTGTGTAAAGACAATGACAATTCATAATACCATTGTGAAAACATGATGATATAGATGCGGGAATGAAAAGTAAAATCGAGAGTGGAAAAATAACAAGTCGAATAGGCACGTCGTATTTCGCTGGAACGGCGAGCAACAAACTTATCTTAACACGCTGAAACAACAAACTTTTTTGGCAGAGTCAGAGAACAGACAGAACAATGCATATAGGCGGTATTGCAAGGGCTTCCGCTAGTACAGAAATTATACTCGACGCTACTGATTCTACTTTCCACCTATAGATATAGAAAATAATCTACGCTGTTTCTCTCTCATAAAAAGCAAGTACACATGCATCGTTCATTGTGCGCTGCGTTCAAATCAAAGCTCACGAAACTGCGCGGCGCAGATCGCGTCAATGTATAGACGAGAGAGAGAGAAAGAGTCGAGCAAAGTAGGGAGCCGTGTTATAAAGCCAAGTTAATAAGCTGCGGCGTAGCGTGCACGAAACGACTTCCTTTAAGACAGCTCGCACGGATCACGAAGCAGCAGGAGCAGCAGCAGAGGCAGCAGACAGACAGACAGACGCGCATGGGGTCATACTGCTACGCGGCCTGCTTATAACAGCTTGTCCGACCGTCGATTTCGGTTCGCTGCTCGACTGACTTGTGGTTTTATTGCGTGCCTGGAAATCCGGCCCAAATGAAGCTGCTACTGATGCTGCTGCTGCTTATACTACTATAATACTGCAAGGGAGTAAGTGGGTATACATAATCCGGAAGTCTGTGCGAATACGTAAGGAATATTACGCGCTGCTTTATAATATGTAGCGCAATATGTACTGTATAACGTGCGTCGTCGTCTTCGTCGCGCGCGCGAGGGCGGAAAGCCGCCTTTTATGAGAAAACCGCGTCTACGGTGCGTTATTATTTATACATGAAAGTTTTGGACGCACCCGGGGAGTTCTTTGCATGCTAATTCTAGTTTCAACCCGAGCCCACGACGGCGAGCGTAATGTACGACGACGCGCGCCTCCGCACGTGCTTGCACCAATGAATTTTGCGCCAAGCGTTTCGATCTCAATTAATTATTATATATATCATGCTCGCCGCGTACAGCGCGATTTGCTCGATTAGATCGTTATTAATAGTTCGCTACACCGTAAATATTGCGCCCGCAATTACGTAAGGATCGCGGAGCTCGCCCTAGAGGCTTTCTCTCTCCTCTCTCTCGCTCTCTGCGTGACCGGCTCATAATCAACTAACCGATCATAATTTCTATATACTCGCCGGGTACATGAACACGAGGCGCGTCGGCGACGGTGGCCGGCTAATGTGCGGCGTACCTATACTAATTGCTTACCGCATCCGACCACAATTGAGTCTCGTGCGCGCAGCTCTCGTATCCGAGCCAGCAAGAAGCTTTTTTTTCCCAGACCAGGATTTAGAGTGAATTTCGCTGATCGAACGACCGTTAAAGAAAATGGCTCCTATACACTGTACCCCCAAGATTCGAGTCAGAACGAGGCGTTATTGCCTACTAGAGGGAGAGCCTTAATAGAGATAGACCGACGGCAAGTTTGGTGCACCGCACAGAAACGCATGCGAGGCAGCCGGTATGTGTGTGCACGCTCGAGTTGCCGCAACAATGCCATAAAGCCAGGCCAGTCCGTGCGCAATGTTTACGATGATAATAACCTCCACGGTCACCTACATAAATATCAATCAAATCTTTATTGTTGCGCTGCAATTTCTTTTGCGTATCGTCGAGTAATCAACTCAAGTACTAGATAGAATAAGAATATGCAATAAATGGCTCCATCGCTAGTTAAGGTTTAAATCATATATTTGCAAAGTATTGAAAATTCGTATTCAGAAATTTGTGTAGAAACTATCGCGAATCGTTTTTTAAGATATTTTCATTCTCCATTAAATTTTAGCCTATTCCATTATCGATTAATTATGTATGTTTATGCAATCGCAAGTATCGTATTCAACCGATATTTCAACAATTTCCACGAGAATCAAAATATTTCTGTTTAAACAATTATATTTATTGCATCCTATTTTGTTTGTCGGTATTTCACGGTGGGCCTGAAGCCGCGATAGGTTTCATCAAAATGGCCACCAAAACTGATTGCACCACTGTTTAGTCGGTCAATCACAGATGAAAACCCCGTTCGAACCAAAATCCTAGCTGATCCTGTTCAAAAGTTATACGTATTTTTCTATTTTTATCCAAAAACCTCTATTTATACTCCGGACGCTGGCTCGGTTTTCGTAAAAATTTCCGACTAAACGGCATTTTTACCCGTTTCTAGACGTATTTTGATGCGCTGAATCGATTTTTCGAGGTTGATTTTCTCGAATCAGGTGCGTTTAAAAGTTATAAACATATTAATTGTTTAAACGGCCATATCTTGTAAAATATTGAAGATAGATTGAAGCAATTTTTTTTTAATTTTATTTGTCTTTAAAAGACGAAGAATTTCCATGAAATTAATTGAAAATCCGTCCACTAGAAAAAAAGTTATGCAATATTTAGTGCAAAATTACTAGAAATACGTCCTTTTTTATCTTTCAACCCCCGTAACTTGGCTCGTATTAGTGCGATCGAGCTCATCGACGTCTCATTTTAAAGGTAATAACCTACACAACAATTCGGTATAGCTTTTAACCCAGTATGATTGTTTATAAAGCAATTATTAGCTATTTTGAGACGTAATTTAATGACTGTCACGTACTTTTCATTTGTTTATACGCGTTTTTCGATGGGATAAATTATTATAATAACGTAGCAACTTAATACAAATGAAAGTACGTCGAAAAACGAAAATTTTAAGACGTTCCAAAAGGTAATCGATCAAGTAGACGCCAATTGTTTTAATCTATCTTCAATATTTTACAAGATATGGCCGTTTAAACAATTAATTTGTTTATAACTTTTAAACGCACCTGATTCGAGAAAATCAACCTCGAAAAATCGATTCAGCGCATCAAAATACGTCTAGAAACGTGTAAAAATGCCGTTGAGTCGGAAATTTTTACGAAAACCGAGCCAGCGTCCGGAGTATAAATAGAGGTTTTTGGATAAAAATAGAAAAATACGTATAACTTTTGAACAGGATCAGCTAGGATTTTGGTTCGAACGGGGTTTTCATCTGTGATTGACCGACTAAACAGTGGTGCAATCAGTTTTGGTGGCCATTTTGATGAAACCTATCGCGGCTTCAGGCCCACCGTGATTTCAATTCGTTGACTCACTCCAAGCGAATATTCAGAGTGAATTCATCGATACTTAATCAAATTTTAACTTAATTTTCTTAAATAGAACATCCATATAAATATATTATAAGATATATTATAAGAGAGAACCTCAGTGTCAGATATGCAAGTTAAAATTAAAATTTACAAATGCAATACAGTAAATGTGGAAAAGCACTTACACGAAAAGTTAATCTGCAAAACGTAAAACTTGTGCGTAATTCTTTGGAGCTTTACAAACATAGTATAAGCATTCAGATTTTTACATATCCTACTGTATTAAATCACATAATTTTGTAACATTACTCTTTCTGCTTTTTTATAGTAAATTCATTCCTCTTTTAAAAAATTGATGTCCTGATCGCATAATTGAAATAAGTTTGTTGTTATAGATTGCTATAATTCGGTAGGTGACATACTATGCATTAAGCGCAAGTTTTTAAATTCATAATAAATAATAATTGCATATTGAAATATTGTTTTATATGAATTGTATATTTTTTGTACGAATGAAAAAAGTGACTATGGAATGATGAGTTAAACCGGTGATTTGTCTCAATATCGTATTAATTTTTGAAGGAAACTAAATATAATGCGTACGATAAATAAAATCACGTTTCATTCTATGTCGACTATTCTCTAGTTAACCCTTTAACGCCTGAAATGACCATTTTCAGACAAAATTTATAGCGATGAATTACACCGACTAAAAATTGTTTGAAAAACTTTTCAGACATCATTTTTTACGTGAAATTTAATGTACTTTTCGAATCCAGTGTCAGAATTTAAAAAAAATTATTTAACTAAAAGTTATAAACAATTTTGTAAAAAAAAACATGAAATTTCGAGAAAAAAATCTCGTTCAACTTAAATTTCACCACGGAAAGAAGGTTTGCTGGTGGGTCTCTCGCATATAAATTTGGTCAATGGCATGTATACTTTATTGTAAAATGGTTATAATGACGAAATTCAAAATGGCGATCATAAATTCGGCTCTCAAAGACCTGTATGTCATAAAATGATTTCGACAATTTTTAACTCGATCTAACCACTTTTTGTGGTTAGACTCACTCAATTCCCACTCAATTCTAAACACTTTTTGTTCTATAACTTGTTTCATTGGAAAAGACAACATTAAAACTAATTTGACATTTACTATGTCAAAATCGTTTATATGATCATATTGTTTACAATTAAGGTACATGCTTATCTGTTTACACATTCTCCTAACAATATTTGAACCAATTTAAAATTCCAACCTGTAATCTAAGCACTTCCTAAAAAACTTCCGATAGACAACATTGAGTTCACACAAAAAAACATCAAGTAAATAGATCCTTATACAAATGTATAAAACATTATATGTTTTAACTGGTGCAGTTATACTTTTTTTTAGTAAAACGTCGTATTACAGAAGAACCGGAGACAAACGCTGTAACGATTTTTGTTAAAAAAACACATCTTCACCAGTTGATAATACTATTTATTCACACGAAAGCCTAAAATTAGCCGCAATGTTGCGTATTTTAGGTTTCTATAAATCAAAAGAATTTCCACATTCATTCCTGACCCATAACCCGCCACTGGTTGTAATCGAGAGAAAAGCAAGCATCATAGATTGAAACGAAGATCGTTTTTGCAATGATTTCAGGCTACTTCGGCAAGTATCTGAACAAGTACAACGGCTCGTACATACCGCCGGGCTGGCGAGAATGGGGCGGTCTCATCATGAACTCGCGCTACTACAACTACAGCGTCAACATGAACGGCAAGAAGATCAAGCACGGCTTCGACTACGCCAAGGACTACTACCCGGACCTCATTGCCAACGACAGCGTGGCCTTTCTGCGCCAGAGCAAGCACAACTTCGCCCGCAAGCCGCTGATGCTGGTGGCGAGCTTTCCGGCGCCCCACGGCCCCGAGGACTCGGCGCCGCAATTTTCCGATCTTTTTTTCAATGTCACCACGCATCAGTACGTATATACACATTTTATGTATCTAATTCACTGCGTAAAGCACCACACGATATCTGACATACCGAAAGCGCACAAAAGATCAGTAGCAAGCGTCAATATTGTATTGTATCCCCGATCGAATTCGATCAAGCTCTTCGAGCACGAACGAAAGCTCGGCTTACGATGAATCATCGCGTGTGCTCCGCTCTGCTCTATGGATATAACAGATATCCCGTGCATAATGTGAATCAGTATAAAGAAGCAAAGCATGAGTCATATTCGAGTGGCTTGTGTTTCACTTTTTGTTTTTACTTTTTTCCTCGTCTATAACGCTCAACGACGGACATGCATCTTTGCGATATTATCGTGAAATTGACTGATTTTTATTCGAAAGTTTTTTTCAAAGTTTGTTCTATGACTTCTTTAATTAATTGCCAATTATATATATATACAATAATTCTAAAGGCTAAAGGCGTTATCGAATTTTGACAATTGTTGCAACGTGAATAATCTTTCGATCGTTTCGAGATAACTCTTCGGTTAAGCTTCCAGCTTTTTCGTAAATTATAGGCATTATTATGCGCGTCACGCAGCTTATTGACTTTACTACAATAGGATTAATGTAATTACTTATCTCGAAGCAATATGGACTCTCTCGGGATTCGCGAGACTATTATAACGTAGTGTACGTCACGGATTCGTGCCAATTTCTTGGCCAGCAAGAGCTTCGCGCGCAGTTGGCTTTTTTATTTGCTCGCTCTATATATAATACACCCGGTATATACATATTTTATAACGAAGGCGCGACGACGATAGGGTATCGCAGCGGTGGCGACGCGTTGATTATGACTCATGCTCGTGCCACTCGGGTTCGGGCCACCATTGTCGCCGTCACCACCACCCGCGATGCACGGAAGTTTTCGTGCATCGCCTCTTGCATACCAAATGAGCAGTCCCATATTCCACATTATATACGTAAATTTAGGTATTATAAGCTTTTTTTGAACACCCATACAACCCGCGTGTGATAAGCGTAAATTTACGCCCGACGTGTGTCAGCTCTCTCGAGTCTATTCGGTTCTCGTGTTCGCGGCAGCCTCGTCGTTGTCGACCTTAAATGTGTGCGATTATATCCGCGCTGACGACAACATCGAGGCTCATTCCAAGAATCTGAATTCAGAGTGGTCCACGCGGTATATAATGCGAGACGCGCCTCGAGCCGAGAGAAAATCTCGGCGATCGCGCGCACAAGCACATCTTATTCTCCCGAAAAAATGCAACGAGCTCGTTTATCGGGGTCAAGGATCTTCGAATACCATTCGATATTATTATACGGCTTGGAAGACCCGTGCGCGCGTTTACGGCTCGAGCGCCTTCAACAACTCTTTGGTATACTTTTCTCGATGCATCAAATTTTATATGTATAAAAATACTGTCGATCGACTTGATACGCGTACATCAAGACGAAATGTAGGTTGTTGAAAAAATCCCCGAAAATTGTTTTCTTCTTGCCGGGATACATCTTTTTTTTCGTAATTATTTTAATTAAGGAAACAACGAAAAATCTACAGCTAGCGATGCAGGCGAAACTCCAGAGAAAGAGCCCGCATGATGTCTACACACCTGCCCTCAACGTCGCATTTACCTCGTCGCATTTCAACAAATTTCCTAAATTTTACCCCTTTGCTCTCATTTTTGGGTGTAGAAGCACGAACATTATTAAAATTAACAAAGATTTCGTGCTGCGCGTGGCGTGCAGCGACGTAAAATCATACAATAGCACGTGAAAAAGTTAATGCGTTAAAAAAAAGAACAATTTAAAAGAGTTATATAACTTACATATTTTCTTGATATTTAAAACTCTGCTTTCCATACTTTCGTCGTCGATCTTTCCTTAGCACATTTTAATTATTGTCAGGCTTTTGAATTGAAGCCAAAAAACTGCATAAAAGCATTTCGAAAGACTCCGCGTATATATACCATCCAAAGAAAATAATATTGTTTAACCCTCGTAATCAATTCGACTTACATCGTACCACCTACATCTTCAATATTATATCATGCAAATGACGCAAACGAACGAGAGATTCATTATCAGTGAAGAATTCGAGATGCATAATGTACGTATAAAGCTCGGAGAACGATCGATGTTCAACAATGACAAGACTCACGAGGAGATAACATTTATCATAGGAGCATCGAGGGAGAAATGTTTGAGCATTAATGCAATTCTCTACATATAATTATATAAAGAAGAAAGATCGACAACTTAGTCACGAATTTCCAGGTCAGCGAGTTTTTCCACTCGTCGTCATCTTTGTCTTCGCTGTCATTGAAATTAAAAAATGCATCTCTAGCTTTGTGGTACTGTGTAGTGTACAAGTGAGCTCGGCCTCTGTACACACGGGTATACAAATGAAATGTTTTACCTATATATAAACCTAGACCTCTGCAATGAAGTGTGCGAGCGAAAAAGTCCCGCGAGGCTCTCTCTCTCTCTCTCTCTCTCTCTCCGGTAAACCGAACAAATAATTTTTGGTTTTTCTCTTATTTTTTGCCCTCGGCTCTCCCTCGAGAGCGAATAGTTACATTTTTTGCATTTCATCGTTTTTCTTTATAAATTTGTACATGCGCGCACACACAAACACACGAGGAGCTACAATGTGTTTATGTATTCGCTCACTTTTCCTACGAGGCTCGTTGCTATACGTAGATGGATAGAGAGCGGGCGAATTTTTCGCGTGTCCGAGCATTGTTTGGCTCCTTTCCAAAGATGCTTTTCATTCCGTCTTTCTTTCTCTCTTCTCTTGTGTATTTATCGGCCAAGAGCACAATTTATGTCTTACTCGTTCATTTCCTTTTACTTATTTTACTTTCGTTTCAGTTATACGAGTCCGCGCGTTTCGTATATATCCTACGTATGCAATATGAAATTGCGCCGTTGTCTTTTCCTCCTTGTTTGTTATTCAATAGTTGCTAAACGACTTTTCACGAAAAAAAAGAAAAAAGCGAAAAAAATACCCTTCGATTATCTAGATTTGCCTGGGTGGATAGATTGAGCAAGAGCCCCGCGCGACGAATAGCATATACGCACGCGGCAAAGGGTTAGACCCCGTGGTCCCGGTTATCATGGCCACGAGATAAGCTATTATACGCTTATTTATGCATACGTAGTGCGAGAAAAGTCGTAAAGTCGGCGAGCGCGGCTCACGTCGCGCTCGGCGCATAGCAGCATGCCGCGCGCCCAATACGTGTGAAGTGTTGCCGCCTCTCTTGCTGCGCCGCGAACCACCATGTTATAATCCACCTTCCACATCGTTAAATCCTTAATGCACACTACTTACGTATTGCCGCATGGTATGCGAACTGCATACACACGCACACATACGCAAACACACACGCACTAAAATGAAAGTCAATTAGTCGTGTAAGGTTGTATATAGCCGTTGCCGAGGGGTGTTGCGCAACACCTTCTCGTCTCGATGGAAAAACGTCTGAATTATTTTTGCGTCTCGACAAAACATACGTATATAGAGGGAGGAGAGAGAGTGCGTTAGCTCTCATAATAATCATATTTTGAGTAGATTAATGGACGCAAAAGTTTTGGACGTTTTACGAGGTCTGGGCGCACTGCACTTATAGTCAAACGATTTACGAGCGGCGCGCGACGACATCTCGCGCGCCGCGGAGGCTCTTTTTTCTTTGCCGCGCTCGCGCGCTTATTGAACGCGCCTGCACGTGTGCGTCTATGTAGGTACTGCCAGCCACCCCTCATCTTCTTTCTTCGCTGCATTATTACGAATTCGTTATTAAACGAGCTATATCCTCGCGCGAGCGCAAAAATATATTATTACTCTGCGCGTAAACTGAAGTTAATCCGAAACGACGCGGGGATCTTATAACGTAGGTGTATATGCAAAATCGCGAGGCAGGATTTCGTCGTCGCGCGACTCTTTAGTGCGGATTCTCGCGACGAAATCAAGCCGAGTTGACTGTTTTTCCTCTGCCAGCGCGAATGTAAAGTTCTCCACGCAACTGCGTATGATAGTACCATTCGCGCGAAAGATAAAGACGCGTGTCTCTCGAGAGACTCACGAGACGAGGCTCGAGATAAGGCGTATATAATTTAATTTTCTTAGCTCTAAGCAACGAGGAAGGATAAGCTCCTGCGTAGCAACTGTTGTACCTTATGTACACACTTTCTCGCTTCCGAGCGCGTGTAATTATTTGAGACAGCTGTGCGTATGCACGTATCCTATACACTCTTCTCAGTGCACCCATTTCCTACGGCGAACTTTTGACACTTCGCTCCCTACCTTTTATGCATACATTTGAATGCGAGTTCGTCGTGTATACGTTTGAATAAGCGCAAGACAAGAATACAAATAATAAATATTCATAGGAGATCAGTTTATCTCGTTTTATTAATGTTCTAAAAATAATGGTAATCCGTAAAAATAGATTAAAATAATTTAATTGTTTAATTATTAAATTGTGTTACAGTACGCCAGCGTATGATTACGCTCCGAATCCTGACAAACAATGGATTCTGCAGGTGACCCAGAAGATGCAACCGATACACAAACAATTTACCAATTTGTTGATGACGAAGCGCTTACAGACGCTTCAGAGCGTCGACTCGGCCGTCGAAAGGGTGAGTACTGAGTGGTAACAGAGGATAAGTCTGGATCTGTCAAAAAAAACCTCGTCTATCTCAATTCTCACAATGCTGCATGTGCCATTTTTCAGATCTATCAAGAGTTGAAAAATCTGGGTGAGCTCGACAACACATACATTATTTACACTTCGGATCACGGCTACCATCTCGGTCAGTTCGGTCTTATCAAGGGCAAAAGTTTCCCGTTCGAGTTCGACGTGCGGGTGCCGTTCCTCGTGCGCGGCCCCGGCATCGAGCCAGGATCCGTGTAAGTCTCTATAACGTCTAGCCAGCATATAATACGAGATATATTTGAATTCATCGAAGCTTCCCTGCTCCCTGCCTCTACCCCGAATTCTATATGATTCTTCTTTTTCACATTATTCCTGCACTTTTACCGCCCCTATATAATGATATAATACAGATGTCTCGTGTAGACACTGCGAGAAAGAACTGGGCCGTTATATATTTAGACGCCTTTTGCAGAGTAGACGACATCGTGCTGAACATCGACCTGGCGCCGACTTTTCTGGACATAGCGGGCGTCGAGACACCCCCGAGAATGGACGGGCGCTCCTTCAAGAAGCTCTTCTTCAAGTGAGTTGCTGCGACTTTTTGTACTTTTTACGCCGGCGCGACAAGCCTTAAAGCAGAGCGCGCAAGGTCATCAATTATTTGACTAGCTTTTATGTGTATCCTATATACTATATACACATACACGCATGCACGACTCATACATAATGCAATCGCAGACGAGATGTCGAGCAAACACTGCATGTATACCTATCGAATCGTGCATAGTTTGAATTCATACGACAAAGTTTTGCGTACTGCACTGCACTGTCGCGCGCCTGCAGCATCGAAATGGCTCAAACTTCTTATATGCGCTTTGTGCGAGAACGCGCTTGTGTAGGCAGAAAAAAATAAACGGGTTTTCGAGCTTTACATTATGTGACTTTTGCTGCAGCAACAAACAAGGTCGCCGCTCCAAATTCAAATGGCCCGATACGTTCCTAATCGAGTCGTCGGGCCGACGAGAGACTCCGGAATCGATTGCCGAAGCTAGGGCCCGCGAGGCAAGGAAACAAGCCAAATTGGCATTCAATCTGAATGGTCCAGCGTCGTCAGCCAGCGGCTCAGCCGACGATACCACCGACGCGAACAACGAATCGTCATCGTTGAGGAAAATTGGCGAAACTGAGTCTAGCGCTAGTGACCTCGATTTCGATAGCGACGACGATGACGTCGAAGAATCTCTCATGGACGACAATGGTAGTTACTATATTTAATGGAATTATACTACGTCAATACTCTGAGAGATGAATAATCGATTCTCTAATTTCATTCGGTCCAGCTCAAATCGACCCGCTGAGCGAGACTCTGCGCCTGGAGGAATTCACGCCCGGCAGTCCGCGTTACGCGCGCCTCGCCATCGAGTGCATGAGGGCCTCCGCCCAGGCGAATTGCCTACCTGGACAGAAGTGGCGATGCGAACGCGACGGTCAGCAGCGTTGGAGGCGGCACAAGTGTGGCGGCGACGACAAGAATGACGAGGCCTTCGGGCCGCTCATACCGATGCCGCGCAACGCCTGGAAAAAATGCGCCTGCTTCACGCCCAACGGCGTCGTCTACACGCGCCTCGAGGCCGACGACTTCGACGGTCAGCGCTTCGTTTTCGGCAGGGAGAGCAAATTCGTCGGTCCATACGGACAAGTGCAGGCCATAGCACCCCGACGAGGTAAATTTTTCCGCAACTAGTGCATATGAAATTCATCCAAATAATGCGCTTCCATTTTATACGATATCTTGCTCAACTTTCCACGGGTGAAACGAAACTTGACGTACAACATTGAAAGCTAAACAAATAATACGGAATTTATATATGCCATATCTGTTTCAGGTAAAAGAGAAACTGTCGATAACGATAGTTTCAGCAAGTTAAATAACGATTGGCAGCTAGAAACTTCTCAGTACACCTCCAAGGATTTCGAGATGCAAACTTTTGACAATCCCGATGATGTGCACTTGGACGTCGAGGACATAATCTCGAGGCACCAGAGAGTGCGAAGGAGCACACTCAAGGGTGACAGCATCGAACATGTGACCAAAATAATGGAAAGCATCGAAGAGGAGCTCGACGATCTGAAGGTAAGAAAAGTCAACGTGGTAATCGTTTTTTGTAAGATTTAGACCTTGAAAATGTATATGTAATATTTCAGGCAAAGCATTCGAATCCTGACAAGCAGTTTCAACCAAAATGTTCAAAGTTACCTCGTGGTGACGTAAATTGTAGCCAGTCTGTGTATAAGGATCCAACCGAGTGGCGACTATCAAGAAAAGAAATTGAACAACAAATTCGCAGCATGAGAAATCATTTAGAAACTCTCAAGGTATTTTTAAAATAATTCTAGCTATTCTTTGAATTACTTGGTATAGTAATTGATGTGAAACATCTATATTTTATGCAAATGAATTAATCATCAATAATTGTTTAGGAAATTCGACGCCACTTAATGCTCAAAAGACCGAATCAGCACCAATTCAACAGTAGCGAACTAGATCCAGCTCAAGAAAACGCGCACCGAGGTCACTCTTCCAGGCATCCGAAACCCCATAATTCGGCGGACACCACTCATCACGTAGCTAGGCACCATCGACATTACGAGCGAGAGGAATCATCTAGTCTAAGACCTGCCTCGAGCACGCCAATCATTGGGTCGGCAACCCATTTGCCGGAATTGAGCAAGGGTAAAAACGCACCGGCCATCGATTCTATACCCTTAGGGACTTCGAAGCCAAAGAAAAATGGACGTCGTCACAAAGTTCGCGACAGCCCGGGAAGCAACACACCGCTCGTCGTCGAGGCTAGCGGTGTCGGTGAGGACGGACAACAGCGACGCCGAAAAAATCATCATAAACGCAGGAACAATACCTTGCTAACCAACAGCGTACACTTTGAGCTCGGAGGAGCTGTGCCCGATCAGAGCTCGACCGATGTCCCATCCACCACGTCGTCTACGATAATTCATAGGATTGATTTGAACTCGGGAGAATCTTCTGTCAACTCGTTGCTGAATCGAAATTCGACCAACGAGAAAAACAATTTCTCAACTAACTCGAGTTCTGTTAATGACAATAGTAGTCTACCCACTGAGTCTACGATAGGGCTGGACACGACGACGTCAATGTCTACTAAAATTCCCCACCCAAGTCAATCTGCATCGGATGCTGTTGAAACGACATCACCTGCTCCTGAACGTCAACACAAGTGTTTTTGTGAACCAGATCAATATGTCAAGTAAGCATCTGAACGAATTTATAAATATTTTTTTTAGTAAAAGTTAACATTCTCAATGTATTTTTTTTTATTTCAGAGAAGAAAAGGATTCAGCCAAAGAAGAGAAAAGAAGACTGAAAGAAGAACGAAATCGAAAGAAAGAACGTAAACAGCGCAAAAAAGCTAAACTCGAAAAAGAGTGTCTTACCGAAAAGATGAACTGTTTTGAGCACGACAACGATCACTGGCGAACCGAGCCCCGTTGGACTGCCGGACCCTTTTGCTTCTGCATGAATGCCAACAACAATACATACTCTTGTTTGCGCACAATTAACGCCACGCACAACTTCCTCTATTGCGAGTTTACAACCGGTCTTGTGACTTTTTACAACTTGAGAATCGGTAATGCATTCTTCATTGATCCTTTCTGAATTTTCAACGAGATTCTCATTTCGATTTTTATTATAACTATTTCAGATCCATTTGAGCAATGGAATAGAGCCTCGTCACTAAACCCATCCGAAAAATCCTATCTCCACAATCAATTAGAACATTTGAAAGGATGTCGAGGTACGCACGATTGTACAGTTGGCAGTGCAAAAGACAGCATTAAAGAAGTATTAGGACAACAGCAGCAAAGATCCATGCTGAAACGAAAGTATTCGGATACATTTGGTATGTCATTTATTCCTGAATCAATTTTCAGTGGTTTTTTGCGTTTCTTTACATTTAGTAATTTTATATGCTCTCAAATTTCAGATGAAACTTTCGTTCCATCGGCTTTACAAATCATTGGAGATAGTGAATTGCTGCACTCTCAACATCGAAGACGTAGCAAAAAATGGCCCAAGTAAATTTGTTTATATGCTATTGAAAAATTCTAACATAGAAACAACATTTATCTTAATGAACATAATATTTACAGCCCTTGGAATAGACATAATCGAAGTGGCCAAAGTGGTAGAAGATCTCATGATGATGTAATGATCCAAAGAAGACATCGGCATCACACGTAGGACTTTTTTTTATTGGATTACCGTTGATATAGTTTTTTTCTGTAAGCGTTAAAACGGAAATTGATATTACATTTACGTTGCTTCATTTGAAAAAAGCTTTGCAAGTAGCTTATAACAGTCAAGTATCAAAGATAAAGCTTTGATTTTAGCAAGTATTAGGTAGATTGTATAGAATTCAAAAGTTCATAATGCAGAGATGAACAATTTTTTATTTATTAGAATAAATTTCTTTGGAAAACGTTGATATTTTTTTACTTGAACGTGAATACTCATTATTGATACACCAAGGAATTGCAGACTGTTTTGACAATCAAAAATTCAATTCGGCATAATCAAATATCTAATCAAAGCAACTATGTAGAAATTATTAGTAGTATGATTCAAATAATCTAAAATACAATATACATGTTTTCACGTACATACAAAGTATAATGTACATATATTCATGGTCAATACAACAAACTTTATGACAGCACTTCCTTTTATTGTAAATCAATATTCAAAATTTATAATTTATTGGATTTAATTTTTTTCACTGCCGTTTGTTCTCTCTGTAACTTTTTCGATGAATTGTATAATAAATTTAATCATCACAATTTTATCGATTTAAAGTGTGTAAAATTAAAAAGAAGGATGTAAAAAGTATGAAATTCAATGTCGTGCAATACGAATACATATTATAAATACATATTAGTTTGAATTTTTAGTTAAATTAATTGTACTAATACCGCATTGTGTATAGGAAGTCTTCATCCAATAGTTTATTAGTTATATTTTCTAATCTAATAGAATAATGTTCAAGTCTCAATTACTGAAAACTGGTTTTATTCAATTTAACTTGAAAATATACGTGTAGATTTTACCGCTTAAGTGCAAAACTAATTGTATTATTAATATTATTTATATTTTTCCAAACTATGTACAAGTTAAGGATTAGAAAAAATGCTTTAACAGTTACAAAAAAGGATTTTTTCTATTTTTTGTGCTTCAAGCTATAAAGGTATTGTTTTTTATTTTATCGAATAAAAATATTTGGAACATTAACAACAGAATAATAAAATTTAATTCAATTAAACCCATAATAAAAACTTATAATAAAAAAAAAATCAAAAATCGAGATACTCGTCAATGTCTTCGTGAGGGTTTCCGAACATAGTTTCCGCGTCAAGTTCTAGGAACCTGATCTCATCTTCTTCTGCAGCCTTTTGCATTTCATAATCAGCGCTTTCAATCTGATCCTTGACTTCAAATCGATCATTATCTAAATTTCGAGAAAATTCATCGTCAAATTCTAACAACCTAATCTTTTCTTCTTCTGATGCCTTTTGCATTTCATAATCAGCACTTTCGATCTGATCTCTGAGCTCAAACTGATCATTATCTAAATTTCGAGAAAATTCATCGTCAAATTCGGCCAATGATTGGCATGGTTCCGCTAAGGCTTCCGTTGCGTTATATTCATTTTCATATCCGTCGTCTTCAGTAAAATTGTCTTTGTGGACATCATCATAATAATCAACATCGTTAAAGTCGTCTTCATTGAAATATTCGTCCAAAGCTTCGTTTTCGTGCGCAATTTTTGCCAGTAATTTTTCGTTTTTTTCCCCTTCTGCGGCATTCAAATTTTGAACGTTTACGCGGCAGTCGCATGGCTGACCCGTAAAAAAAATCTAGAAATTTTAAAGTCAATCATTATTTTTTCCACGATGAATTTTCAAAAACTGATGATAAATTATTCTTACCGTCATTAAATCTTGCTTTGATCCACAAACCACACACTTCCATTTCTTAGCCTTTTTCTTCAATTGAACCTGAAAAAATAAATGACATGTAAGTTTCTAGTTCGTTTTTTATTGTTTTGAAAGAGCTAATTAACTTTCAACTATTCTATGACAGTCATTTTTATTTTCGAATTTTCTCTTCGTTAAAAAAGAAACAATTAATTAAATTCAATCTCTCATAATTCATCTCTATTAAAAAATTTAAATAACTTTAGTAATTGAAAAAATTTCGGATAAATTATCATGATTATTGTTAGTAAAATATCTGTTTCGGTTCACGAACTAAGCGTCGAGGTTATATAGGATTCAGCTCATAGCTTTCTTTGTATTAATATATCTTTGAATTAAGATTTATTATGTTTAATACTTGAATCAAATTTACCTGAAATTTTTTGCATGAATAGCACTTCACAACCCAAGCTTCTTGTGGCATTTTCTTCTAATTTATTATTAATCGTTATCGAACGAAAAACACCAACTTGGTTTCTGAACACAAAAATGGTAAACAAGCGAATGAAATATACCCGCTCAATTTGAGAACACTGAACAGCTGCTTTGCGTTGCGCACGCATCTAACCGGTCGTGCTGACAATTGACAACTGACAAGTGTTTTTGTTTACGTATCATAGCTGGTTTGCATTTAATAAGAAAATAAAAATTAATTTCATGCGGTCAGAGAAAAAAATTTTCTAATACAGTATAGTAATCATCCTTTCAACAGAAACAATAATGAATATTACAGATGATTTAAGGCGTAACCTTGCTTTTCTTATAGAACAATCTCATGGTATTGTCACTAACTCAATATAATATTAACTATTATCACTGTTTCTGCATAAATTCATTTATTCCATAATATTTCACAGTTTTACCAGATTTCTGTAAACTAGCAATTGATTATCTGCAAAAAGGACCCAATCTAAAAATATATAGCGCTGCAGCTCGTATGTATTAACATTGCTGATTATTATATTTTCTTCATATTAATACTAACTTAACCTTGTATAATATTGCATTTTTACAGAAAAACTACAAGTAGAACCCAAGATTATAAGGAGTTCCGTAGAAGCTCTGCTAAATTTTTTATTTGAATGTTGTAAGAATAAAGTGAGTTAAAATTGTATTAATAGACTTTTGTTCATCCAAAAGTAAAATAATTAAGTAAAAAGTTGTATTAAGAGTTTTTTTTTATCCAAATATTATATTTCTTTCTTAGCTGAGCATAGAGGATTTAAAGGAAACTATTTCAAGCCTAGGATTTCCAGAAGAACATGGAACAGTACTATGTGATTTGTATACTCTAAAAAGTCAAGAGATTTCAGATGCTTTGAGTAACTTAGATTTGAAATTACCTGAATATCATAATCTAGAATGGAGATTTGAAGCACAGGTTTGTTGTATAAAATCATTAGCAGTATAGTTTTTATGAAATATAAACTTGAGCTCAATTATATATTTGATTTATAAATTTAGATAAATTTTTGAAATTTCCTTATTTTAAATTAAAGTATTGAATGCATACTATGTTTTATAGCACCAGTTTTGAGTATTTTATTTAATTAAAAAATTTAATTGTACCAGTAATTGGGTATTTTGGTTAAAAAAAATAGAAGGTAAAACAAATCAATTCAACCATAAATTTATGCAATGAATTATGGTGTAAGGATGCATTTTTTAAAAAGTTTAAAAGTTTAATTGTTATGTTGCAGTCTTGAAACTTAAGTAAAATCAAATAATCTTGAAAGTTTAATAAAGGGTTTTCTATGATTTGTAAATTCTGAAAAAATTGTTTACCAAAAATGTCAAAATAATTTATTTGCAGATTGCTTCCAGATCATTACTTCACCAAGTAATTCCTTTAATAACAATGGATCTAGCTTTAGCAAATACATCAGATTCATCAAAACTGGAACATGTGTATCTACAAACCGATCCAAATAATTTACTGCATCTTGCTCAAGAACTTGAAATAGCCTTACGCGAAGGTCGGAGTAGGCACGTTCAAAGTATCGCAAGAATCGTCGAGAGTAAAGATCCTTCGTAATTGTTTTTAGATGAAATTTATAAAAGTTTATTTCTAAGTTAATTAATTTTCAACATTGACCAAATCAAAGTTGAAGAATCATTTAATTGTAAATAATATTGGAGTAAGATTTCATAAGTTGTATTTATTTTTATATGCAAAGTAGCCAAACGAATAAATCGATAGTTTTCACGTCAACGAAGAGCTTCATTTATTTCAAGTACATGCAAATGTGTATGAAGTATTAAGTCTCTGAGACAAATGGCTCGTGACAGGTAGTTGCCGAGCGATAGAAAAAACGCATCAAGTCGCGAAGACGTCACACCTTGAACTCGAAACGTGTAATATCACATCGCTAGGTACTCATTTGAATATTTGATCGAATTAACAATTTCTGGGCATTTGGCTTACACCCTAGTGCTTCGTATAAATTGCCACTTAAAAAAGTCGCGGCTTCGTCGCGCGAATCGCTATTTGCTCGGTAGGCACGTTACATTGATGATCCGTTACAAGCGAGCTTTTCTCCGGCCACATCCGCAGCGCGAAGTCCACCGAATTCATCGTCACTGAGTACTCAAGTACGCTGATCGATAAAAAGTCCAAAAAAAAAAAGCCAAGAATGAAGTTTTCTCAACGAGTGTAGATGTGGCCCTAGTGTTGTTTTTTTCTCTCGTAAAAGAATCGGACTAAAACGAAGATTAAAAAAAGTGAATTTTGGCAATGTGCGTTTGCCCGCAGGACATGGATAGCAGCTCGCATCACGAGGCAGTTTTCGGAGCCGTCAACGCTACCAGCGGTGCGCTAGCCGTGGTGGCGGCGGCGGCCCAGCAACAACTGGCCGGTGCCTCGTCGGCAGCCTCGTCCTTACACAACAGCGTGCCCGCCGCCGTCGCCTTTCAGACCTCGTCCATCATAGTGAACACAATTGCCCACGCGACGACGACCATGGGCCCGCATTTCGCTCGGCAAATGATGAAGTTCAACAACTACACGGTCGTGGACAAGGTACCGCCGGACATGCTCGATCGCGTCGGAGCGCATTGGTACATACAGACACAATTGGTTTACTCATTTCTAATCGCAAGCTAATTCGCTGTAGTTAAATTTGACTCATTGAAACATCATCTCTGAGGCACTTTAGTGCTTGAAAAGTCAAAAGCGTAATTTATTTTGAACAGGTATCAATATCCACCGCTGTGGCCGATATGGCATAAAATATTGGGCCTCGTGATGGTCTTCATCGGTATGATTGGCTGGAGCGGCAACTTCATGGTCGTGTATATATTTTTAGTAACGCCGAATCTCAGGACACCCAGCAACGTGCTCGTGATAAATTTAGCTTTTTCGGACTTTTTCATGATGATAGCCATGTCACCTCCGATGGTTATTAATTGCTGGTTCGAGACGTGGATTCTGGGTGAGACCCCAGACTTTGATGAATTAGACTCGATCGTTTTTTTAATATCGTTATTCACGTGGTAATTATTTTTTCGATTGAAGGTCCTCTGATGTGCGACATTGAGGCGCTCATTGGATCGGTGTGCGGGGGAACCTCCATTTGGACTATGACAGCTATAGCTTACGATCGTTACAATGTCATCGTCAAAGTAAATAATAGATCGTTCGATTTTTTTCCTTTGCAGTGAACTAGTCGATTCGTGATTTAATACGGCAGTCTTTTTGCAGGGAATGTCAGGAACTCCGTTGACATTTATGAGAGCCATCATACAAGTCGTCTTAATTTGGACTCATGGATTTATTTGGGCGTCGCTTCCTCTTTTTGGCTGGAACAGGTAAGTCAATCGTAAATAACAGGTGCCCCGTTTACACGATGCGCTTGAATTTCGTTCCTTTAACAGATACGTCCCCGAAGGCAACATGACATCCTGTGGCACGGATTACGTCTCGGACGACTGGTTCGGAAAATCCTACATTCTCGTCTACTCGATTTTCGTTTATTACATACCTCTCTTTTCCATCATCATTTGCTATTATCACATCGTGTCGGTGAGCACACTTATAAATTTCTATTTAATTACAGTTCAAATTTCAAGTATCGCCTATCGATATTTTTATGACCTCGTATCCGAATTTCACAGGCTGTCGCGGCCCACGAGAGAGGAATGCGCGAGCAAGCTAAAAAGATGAACGTCGCCTCGTTGCGCTCCGGGGAACAGGGCGGCGAGAGGGCAGAAGCCAAACTGGCCAAGGTCAATAGCTCGATCAATTTATCAAATAGTTCAACCTGATCCTTATATTGTATTAATTTTAATATGCTCAAAGCTCTGAGATCGTAATAAGCTCTCGATATTACAATTCACAGGTAGCGCTGACGACGATTTCCCTCTGGTTCCTGGCTTGGACTCCGTACTTGGTGACGAATTACATGGGCATATTTAACAAGCAGTACGTGACTCCGTTGTTCACGATTTGGGCATCGTTATTTGCCAAGACCAACGCCTGTTACAATCCAGTCGTTTACGCCTTCAGGTAAATGATACACATACACAAATTGTATACCAAACCATACCGATTGAAATAACAATCAAAAACTAATATCATGATTTTTCCACAATTTTTAAAGCCACCCCAAGTACAGGGCGGGTTTGAAAGTGAAATGTCCTTGTCTGGTGTTCGGCGACGACGAGGAGAAAAAGCCAGCTCCGGCCGCAGCTGCGTCGAAACCCGCTGCCGACGCTGGTTCGACCCATACCAATGATGGCAAGGCCTAAATGTATACTTTGTCAATCGACCATGGTTGTTATAAATTTGTTTTGAAAAAAAAAAATTATTATTACCAACTAATATAGGATTATTGTCTTTTTTTTAATGTTTACGATTGTTAACATTGTAGGATATCTTATCTTGTATCATTTTCATTTAATAATTAAAATTTAATCAGTTCTGTTAAGAAAAACAAAACAATGTACGTAAACATAAAACCTTTTTTACGAAATAAAGTATTAATTTCTCCTTATTCAGCCTTTAAGAAAGATTAGATAAGTAAATTATGTGGTTTAGATAGTATTGTATTGAACGGGCATTGAAACTGGGATAAGATGCCGAACTTTCACGAAGATTACCGAATCGATAAAGATGTGTGAAATCAAATAGCTCAAAGTCAAGCAGAGGCAGAAAATAAGCGTTTCGATGTTTTTTCACTCTACCATCATCATCATATGATAAAAAGTGCATGTACATATTTCATATTTTATTTCATCGTGCATAATTGTCTCATTTGGTAGTAATTTATAATAATCATTCCCCAAATATTAGTATAATTTAATTCGTCATAACGCTCGCTTATAATTCGGATAGAATACATGAAATATTCATATAAAATACTTTCTATTAGAGTTTTAAAGCTCTATAAATGTCTCTTCAGTTCCCTGCAATGTATCATCCCGTTTATTATGTGTATATTTCATGACTTTTCTACGAAATCGGAGAATGGGAGAAATCTCTCAAAGTAAGCAGAAACAGTTACATGGTTGGGGAAATACGACACCCGATTGGCTGCAATCACTTGCAATATACGTGCACGTGTTGAACACACACACCATTTGTCCTTTGTTTCACTCTAGATCGTAAAAGCCGACGGTGGCGCGAGCATCTCGCGCGTAGCGATCGACGATTTGAGTTCTGCTATATACTTACATACACTTCACGAGTCGATACATTACGATAAAAACACTCCTTCCGCACGCACGCGGCCGGCACGGACGATCCATACATTATAGGAAGACAAATTTTTTCCTTTGCCTTGTTTAGTATAAAAATTTAATAAAATCTCTATCTTTTGGTTTTATTAATTTTCATGGTAAGATCTGAAAATGAATTACATTAATTGAAAATGTAGTTTTAATAATTTTAACACAATTTAGATCTTGAAACGTTATTTTGAAAAACACAACGATTTACGCTCCTTTTATTCTTCCGTTCTTTAGAATTTTTGAATCTTTTTGAATTGTAACCTATGAAAAAAGATCGCGTTCGATGATAAATAACTTTTTAATTTTAGCATTTGAAATTGATTATAGTCGAAACGTAATTTTTACTAATTGATATTTTATTAATCTCAGTAAGTAATTTTTTAACTTTGAGGTTATTTTTCAAGACCATACATTTTCGCCTGAACCATTAAATGTGACAAGCAAAAAGAATCTGATAAAGTTTATGATTTTATTTATTTACAGGTATTAAAGTTTGAGAGGCATTGTTAAAAATGTTTTCTATCATTCAACGTATTGCTTCAAAAGTGTTATGGACAGAGTCTCCGAGTATCAATGAAGAAGATGATGCTGAGAGTTCTGAAAATGAAGAAATTATTACTGAAAAAAGTTCAGATAATAAAGTTATACTAAGCAGAGAAGTTTTGGATTTTGTGAATGAATTAAGTCAAATTCAACCAGAAGAAAGTGAAGTAACTGAAGAACCACAACTGAATGTGATTGATCGTGATAAAGGATGTTTTTATAAAACAGGCGTTGTTAGTAGAGTTACTGAACAATTAATTTTGATTGAAAACAAGTATACTTGTGAAGCAAAGTATGTTGTTCCAACAAACTTAAAAGTTGGTGATGAAGTTTATTATTTGGCCTACAAAGTTAATGAAAATGAAGAATTGAAAGTGCGTAGAGTAGAACGTAGAGTAGATAAGCTTTGGGATGAAAGTGATCATAATGACGATGATGAAAATAACCAAAACTTTAGTACTCAGATGTCATCATTAAAACGACAACCAAATTGTTATGATGATGATGATGTCAATGAGATTTTACCATTGAAATCACATACTGACCAAGTTATAGAATCAAGAGATATTCATCAAAGAACAGTTGTTACTAAAGTTATTGGAAGAAAAGCTCGAGAAGTATTTTTAGAAAATGTAAATATTTCCGTTAATTTAAATAATGCTCATTGTGATTTTATACCCTATATTGGAGATTGGGTGAAATTAGATTGTGTAGTTGAAGTGGATGAATCTAATCCAAATTTGGAAGGTGAAATTATGGAAATAACTTCAATGAAGCCCCAGAGACAAATTAATAAAGTAGGAAAAATCACTGAATATGATGAATTCAAAGAAGTTGGAAGCGTTAATAAAGATATTGTGTTTAATAAATCTAGTTGTGCTTCTGGGTATTTACCATTTAAAGATGATACAGTAATTGTTCAAGCTATTGAAAGTGATCAAAGTATTGGAAAACGCTGGAGAGCTTTGAAAGTAGTTCCCATAGAAGAGGTAATTACTTTTGTATTATAATGACGTATTAAATTAAAGTTGTTATTTAAATTAATTTTTTATTATTATTTTTAGCAATCATCAAAACATATTGTTCTGGATGTTCATCCACAAGTTCAAATGCCAGAAGAACAACTTTTAGAGTTGATCAAAGATAAAGAAAGTGTTGAAATTACCAATGACATAAACATTACTTTAGAAGCCAAAGAAGAAAAGGATTTTGAAGTTGTCATAAGAAATGATTCAAACATAAAATTAATGTTGCAATCATGTTCATTTTCAAGAAAGAAGTATCAATCTCAAATAATGGTACTTTTTCCAAAAAAAGAAGAATCACGCATTCCCATACATCCAGGTACTCAATTAACTTGTACATTTCGCTGCAGAGGAAAATTAGTTGGGGATTCAGAAGAGATTATTATTTTCAAATTTCGTAAATCTAGTCTATACTTTCAAGTTGGACGAATTGTAAAAATCACAGTTAAGAGCATTACTTCAGCTACTCAACAAGCTAATAGTAATGGACCAACTAATCAACGAGAAGCACCCAAACATTTATCAATTTTAGAGCTAGAAGATAATGGTGAATATATCAAAGGAGTTAAACCATACGCACCTGCAAAATTTATTACTAATAAAACAATTGTACCTAGAATACCAAAAACTTTGTGGACATTGATAAATACAATAGATATTGAGAATAAGTCACGTGTTGAAGCTCAAGGCTTTTTGGAAGAAGGTGTTCCAGTACTAAGCCAACCATTGAGTTTTAATAATTATAAATTGCGCTTTGGCTATTTATTGTTTTTAGAACAAATAGCAATGGTGCAAGATTTACGACGATATGATATGGCCTCAGCTATTTTAATAAGGAGTGGTGAATATTTATCTTTGAATGTTCCTGGTTTAGTTGAAAAACGACCTTCTCTTATAGTTGGTGACAGAATTATAGTTTCATTCAAATGGTCTAGAAAAACTGATAACCAATACGAAGGTTACATTCATAAAATACGTTCTTCTGACATTTTTGTGAAATTTGATGAAAGTTTTCATCAAACTTATGGTGGTGAAGATTGTGCTGTACACTTTAAGGGTTCAACTTCTGTTATAAATAGATGCCATACAGCACTTGGTGAAGTTGTTAAAAAACTTGGAGAACAATTTTTATTTCCTACAAGAGTAATTGAAAAAGAACCACAGTATAATATTATTGATGAACATGATAACAAAGAAAACATAGAGCATAATACAAACGAAAAAGATGAAGATGAAATTACAACTGAAAATGCTAATGAAAAAATACTTGATCTTATGAAAAATAAACGCATTGAGTGGTTTAATAAAAGTTTGAATATTTACCAAAAAGAAGCAGTTAAAAATGTTTTGAAAGGAGTGGCTAGGCCTTTACCTTATGTGATTTTCGGACCACCAGGAACTGGGAAAACAATTACACTTTGTGAAACTATTTTACAAATAACATCTCTACTACCTGATAGTCGAATACTTATTGCAACTCCTTCTAACAGTTCTGCCAATTTAATTGCTGAAAGATTATTAGATAGTAATGTTCTTAAACCAGGAGATTTGGTGAGTACTTTTAAAATACCAATCTAATAGTTAATGTTTTAAAAATTTTTATTCTAATACAATTTTTCACAGGTACGATTGATAGCTTTTTCTTACTTAAATAGTGATTCAGTACCAGAAAAACTCTTACCTTATTGTGTAACAGCTGATATAGCTGCTGAAGGTAGCCGAATTCATGTGAACATTGATGATCCACGTGGTTGTAAGACGAATGTCACCTTGAGTGTACTTGTTCGCTATCAAATTATAATAGGAACATGTTCAGCATTGGGCATTATATATAATATGGGTGTCAGTCCAGGGCATTTTACTCATGTTTTGATAGATGAAGCTGGTCAAGCAAGTGAGCCTGAAATTATGATTCCATTGAGTCTGGTTCATGCTGAATCTACGCAGGTGATTTTAGCAGGTGATCCCAAACAATTGGGTCCTGTCAATCAGAGTCGTTTAGCATCATATTTTGGTCTCAGTGAGAGTTTCCTTGTTAGATTATTACAACAATTCCCTTACAAACGAGATGAACAGGGTTTTGAATTCGGATATGATCCTCGATTGATAACCAAATTGAGAATGAATTACAGAAGTCTTCCAGGCTTATTAGAACTACCTAATAGACTATTTTATGAAGCTGAGTTGATCCCAATGGTATTTGAATTTTTTTTTAAATAAACAAAATATTTTTTATAACATGATAATTTAGTAATCATGTTTTATAGGTTCATCCTGAGGAGAGCGAAGAAGCCTTGCTATTGGAGTCCTTATCAGACATGTTACCCCAAGGCAGACTTGGAAGTCCTCCTGCTATAGTATTTCATGGCATTGATGGGAAAAATGAACAAGATACTGAAAGTCCTAGCTGGTATAACCCACAAGAAGCAACACAAGTATATATTTATTTAATGGAATTATATAATAAGGGTATAAAACCTGAAGACATTGGTATAATTACACCCTACACTAAGCAGGTAATTCAAAATTGACACTTGATATAGTTGGCTACTTAAGTTTAATTGACAATTTATCAATTTTATCAAATATTTCAGGTTCATCATATTAGGTCTCTTCTATCAGAACTAGATACTGAAATTCCAAAAGTTGGAAGCGTTGAAGAATTTCAAGGACAAGAAAGAAAGATTATTATATTGTCTGTTGTTAGGACTTCTGATGCTGAAGTGGGAGTAGATGTACGTCATGCTCTAGGATTTATTTCATCAACTGAACGACTCAATGTCGCTATTACAAGAGCTCGGAGTTTACTGATAATTGTTGGATGTCCTAGACTTTTGAAAAAAGACATTCATTGGAGAAGTGTTCTGGAGTACTGCATTACTTCAAGGGCTTACATAGGAGTAGACTATTAGAGAAAAAACTAAACGCGCTTGCAGAAGTTTCACTTCAAAATTGCAATAATTGCAATATTTGCAATATATTTTAGATTATTTGAAAAATATTTGTCGAAATGTTGAATCTTCAAATAATTTATATATTATGAAACTGTATTATTGATAAACTTGATATTTTTATATTTAATGACCTAGATTTTTTAAATAAAGAAATAAGTTTCTTCTAAAAGTCGCATTCAATGATCATTTGTTGTTTTTTTTTTTTTTTTTCTTTTGTTTATATTTATGACTTTTATAAACCATTGTGAATTAGTTAAAATAAAATTGTTGCGGACTGTAGCGGAAATGGAAGTAAAAATCATCAATTCTCCGAAACCTTTTTTAAAACTCTGAGAATAAATATAAAAAACATCGAAACAAAATTTACCCCGACATCAACAAATATTTAGCAGGAGTTTTGAATGATAGGAGATTTAATTGTCGGTTTTATTCAAACTTTGGCATCCCCTCTATATTAATAACAATTTAAAAAAAAAACATTTAAATATTAATGTATTGATTAAAGCTATAATCTTGACGAATGAAGAAAATTGGTCGTTGTTGACTGTTTAGCATTATGAGATGCTGTTTATAAGACTGCATTTATAAATAATTCCAAATTCGATTAAAGTCCTATTGCATTGCATCCGTAACAATACTTATAAGGTAACACGCAAAAATTCAAAACGAATCTGCGAGCGCTACTAAAGGCATGAGATAGCGATCGCAGTATAGATACAGTCAGGGGCGAAAGACGTGTTTGTATATACTTGCCAGAGCGCGCGCGAGAGAGACAGTTTCGCGAATGGGAAACAGCTGAGACGGGCGCAAATTATTTGCTCGCAGTCCGCTGACGCCAACTCTTCTATCGCGTGAGTGACAAAAGTGTGCTCGACATTATTCCAAATATACCGGTAATACATTAGTGCCGTCGACTTCGTGATCGCGAGAGAACTGCGAGGATGGCCGAGCAAAATATTGATCTCAACTTCCCCGTATGGGGGTTGCTCCCGAAGAAGGAAACCGGAGTCACTCAGTTCATCAACAAATATCCTCAATACGACGGCAGAGGTACTATCATCGCCATCTTTGACTCTGGAGTTGATCCTGGAGCACCCGGTCTACAGGTGAGTTTGCTATAATCCCCTCGTATTTATGTTTACGTTCGAGTGGCTTATTTACATTAATTTTTCGAAATCTGGTAGTCGGTTAAATGTCGACTTTGCTAGACAGATATTTTACTTTTTCAAAATCTGCTAGTCATCTTTCAAAACGGAAATACACGATTGTTTGTATTATAAATTTTGTTTGGTTCAGGTGACATCCGATGGTAAACCCAAAGTTATTGAAAGATTTGACTGCAGTGGCCTTGGCGATGTTGATACAAGCAAAGTTGTCAAAACCATTGATGGATACGTGACAGGTATAACTGGACGAAGACTGAAGGTAATATATGTTATTATTATTGTATCAAATTTTAAGCTTTACCTATATGTTTACCTAAATGATTTTCACTGATCTAATTGTTATATAACTTTTTTTATTTTTAAATGATTGAATAGTGACAAGATCAATTTATTTATTGATAATGTATAAACTTATTTATTTGTTTTTTTTTTTTTTTTTTTTGAGAATAAGAATAAGATTGAACATTATCTCAATTGTAAATTAAATTAGATATCATTCAATTCTTATCTTTTATTTGTAGTCAGAAATAATAAATTTAAAAATAACTTTTTTCTTTACTGATAAATTAGATTCCAGAGAGTTGGAATAATCCAAGTGGAAAATATCATCTTGGTGTAAAAGGTGCATATAGTTTATATCCAAGTAAGTTACGTGAAAGAATTGAACAGTCTAGAAAGAAAAAAAGCTGGGATGAAGGACATAAAACTGCATTGGTTGAAGCTACCAGATTATTACAAGTAAGAATTAAAATTTACTTCAAACTTAGTTTTAAATGATTTGCAGAGTAATCAATGAAAAATTTCTGTGATAACTTTTGAACAGTCTAATAGCGAACTTGATACTAATAAATTAGAACATATTTCGAAACTGTTTGTGTTTAGCCATATAACTGTAACTATATTTATATTTGGCAATTTAATTGAGCTAAGATATTGACCTCATTGCCCATTGAGCCACTTAGATTTTTCTTCATCTATAACTAATGATGTTCTACAACATATCAATCAGTAAACATGTATATATATGACTTTAGGAATTTGAAGCAAGTCATCCACAGCTCTCAACGGCACAAGAAAAATTGGAGAAAGAAGAACTTGAGTCTCGGATAGAATATTTGAATGGTCTTGAAAAAAAATATGAAGATGTTGGACCAACTTATGATTGTGTCGTTTTTCACGATGGACAGATATGGAGGTGAATAAAATTTATTGTATAATTTTTTTAGCTGCAAAGTTAACTCTTTTTTTTAAATTGACTGTAACAGAGCATGTATTGATACATCAGAAGAAGGAAATTTAGCAGCTGGAGTATTTCTCGGAGAATACTCCATCACAAAAGAATATGCTCCTCTTACTCAAGAAGATCAGCTTAATATTTCTATTAACGTTTATGAGGAAGGAAATGTATTGGAAATCGTCAGTCTTTGTTGTAAGTAATCGATCGAATAATCAAAAAAATTGTAAAATATAATTTCAAAAGTTCACTAATCTACCATGAAAATTCGTTTTCAGCACAACACGGGACACATGTAGCGTCAATTGCCGCTGGCAATTTTCCAGACGCCAAAGAATTAAATGGAGTTGCCCCAGGTGCACAAATTATATCTTTGACGATCGGTGATGCACGGCTAAATACCATGGAGACAGGAAGTGCCATCGTTAGAGCAATGATTCGCGTCATGACATATAAGGATAAAATTCATGTTATCAACATGAGCTATGGAGAGCGTGCTCACTGGGCCAATACCGGACGAATCGGTGAACTGATGAACGAAGTTATTGACAAATATGGTGTTTCTTGGGTGAGCTCGGCTGGAAACATGGGTCCTGCATTGTGCACAATAAGTAAATATTTTTCGGGACTCAAATTTGAAACTCTTCATGATTTTACGATTTTAAATAATTTTGTGTAAACTATTTAGATACTCCACCTGATATCAATTCGAATAGTGTCATTGGTGTGGGAGCATACGTTTCACCCGATATGATGATGGCAGAGTACTCACTGAGAGAAAAAATGCCAGGTATGCCGTTTACATGGTCTTCCAGAGGCCCTATGCCTGATGGCGGTTCTGGCGTTTCTGTATGTGCACCTGGTGGTGCCATTACGAGCGTTCCAAACTTCACCCTTCGTAAATGCCAATTGCTCAATGGAACAAGTATGGCAGCTCCTCATGTTGCTGGTGCCGTCGGTAATTTTTATATTGCCTAAATTTAAAAAAAAAAGTTTAATGATTTCGAATGGAATAACTATGTTTCCTATCTAATGATCTACAGCTATACTCATATCTGGACTTCTGGCGAGGAATTTGAAATTTTCACCGTATAGTATCAAACGTGCATTAGAAAACTCTGCACATTTCGTCGATTCTCTAGATCCGTTTGCTCAAGGTTCTGGATTATTGCAAGTAGAGAAATCCTTTGAAAATCTTGTTGCAAATGCCGATGCTCCCGAGCGTGACGTTAGGTTTAACATTAATTGTGGTACCAGTAACGCCAAAGGTATTCACTTGAGAACGGGTGTTATTGACCGTCCAAAGGATTATGCTATTACGGTAGAACCAACATTTTTAGACAGTGAAAATACTGGTAATGATTTATGGCTTATCTTGCAGATAAATATTTAAATGTACACAACTAAATATGAATTTTCGTGGTATTATAGATCCCGCGAGGAAAATTAATTTCAATGTCAGAATTACAATGGTCTGTGACGCACCATGGGTTCATTATCCGACTCATTTCGATCTAATGCATATGCCTAGAGCTTTTGCCATTCGTATTGATGGTACTTCACTGCCAGAAGGTGTTCATTTTACAAGGTAAAAAGATAAATTGCAATTTTTATAGTCATAACAGAACTTAATTAAATTTACATTGTAGTATTCGAGCGTATGATGTATCGAATGTAGACAAGGGTCCACTTTTCCGCATACCCATCACGGTTGTACAACCATCAACAATCCCGAAAACTGCAACTCTTCCGGATCTGGTATTCACGAATGTTGCTTTCAAACCAAATACTATTCAGAGACATTTTATTCTTGTTCCTGAGGATGCCACTTGGGCAGGTAATTCATTATTTATTAATCAGCGTCTTTTTTAATTGATTAAATAATGAAACATTTTTCATTTCAAAAAAATAAAACAAAATACTTATAGTTATTTATTCATGAATCCATATATTTTCACAGTTTTAAAACTCAAGAGTGCAGATAAAGATAAAACTGGACGATTTGTTATGCATACAATGCAGTTGAAGCCTCGTTTAGCCACAAAAACTTTAGAGCTCAATAAGATGCTAAATATTACTTCCCAATCTGAAACGATTCAAGGTTTCACCGTACAAGGAGGCTTAATTTTAGAAGTAGCCATTGCTAAATATTGGGCTAACTTAGGCGATATTCTAATCGATTATACTATCGAATTTCATGGTGTACGTTTATTGAATGGAGATCTAACAATGCAATCTGGCGATGGTATACATCGTTTGGAGCTTCGCAGTTCTCTGCGAAGTGAAGAAGTTGTACCAGTCATATCGCTTAAACACTCTGTTCAAGTTTTGAGGTAATTCATGTATAAATTAGTGGTATCATTAATTAATTAATTGCTTATCATCAAAACAGCTTAAATCTTCGACTTTTATTTTTCCATTTTTTAACTACGATGATCATTATTTTCTATGTTCATGCAGACCTATTGATGCTAAAATCGCACCTTTACGGGCACGCGACATCATCCCGCCCGCCCGCCAAATATTTGAGTTGCAATTGACGTATACATTTCATATAGCAAAGGCTACTGAAATAACGCCCAATGCTGCACTACTTAGCGATTTGTTATACGAAAGTGAATATGAACACCAAATGTGGATGATCTATAACGTCAACAAACAACTCATTTATTGTGGAGATGCTTACCCCAGCAAAGTTAGTATAGTAGAAAACCTATATTATTTTTTCGTTGATCAAGAGCTTTTCCTATATGAGCAACTTTCATCTTAATTCAATAAAATTCTTTCTTGCCATATAATCATGCTTTTTCTATAGAAATGACATAATACTTCCACAGTTTAAGTTTGAAAATAAAATTAACTCAACGTGAATTTTTTGCAGTACACAATTTCGAAAATTGAAAAGGGTGATTATACCTTAAAAATGCAAATACGTCACGAGAAAAAGGAATTATTGGAAAAATTGACAGATATGCCTATGCTTCTAAACCAAAAATTGAGTTCTCAAGTCAATTTAGACGTTTATGCAAGTCAATCACAAGCGATGATTAGTGGTAAAAAAATGGCAGCAGCTTCTATTCCTCCAGGACATATTTTACCATTGTATATTGCACCTTTATCCAACGAAAGCAAGTTAGTATCACGATTAAAATATATTCATTAGTTAACAGAAAAATAGTTGATTTTTACAAAGTAGATTAGATATTATATTTAAAAAAAATAAACTTTTACCATTTACTTTAATTCAATTTCTATTACTTCACAAAAAAAATGCACCCATTTTAATTGTAGAGGTAAATTCTAATCTTATTTTAAATTATTGGTATTGATAATAATACATTTTTACTTAATTTCAATTATAGCACTGACATCATGTGAGTGAAAAACGAATTTTATTGTTTTCCAGTGAAAGCTTTGCTTTGCAAAATCAATCACTCAATACTACTTTTTCAAATTTTCAGTTGTTAGTTGCTTTTGCAGAATCTGTGTTACTTATTTCAGTTACTACTATTGTTTTTAATAGTATAATGATTTAATTTTATCTTTTATTATCTTTAATTGATTTTACTAACATTCAAACAATTAAATATAAGTATTAACCGAAGGTTTTAGAAATGTTGTAAAATTGGCTTATTTATTAGCAATTTATATTATTAAGTTAAAAAATTCATTTTTTTTTTAGAATTTCTAAAGGTGCAACTTTAGGCTCTTATCTCCAAGGAACAATAACTTTCTGCAAGGACGAAATTGGAAAAAAAGTAGATGTTCATCCATTTAAATTTGTCTTGTCGGATTCAGCTAGAAAGCCGATAACCCAGAATAATAAGAGTGAAAAAGAAAAGTTGACTAAATGGGAGGAATATAACGAAGCCATGCGCGATCTAAAATGCAATTGGCTTGCAAAACTTGGTAAATTATTATTTTTATTATCCAATCACTTTTTTAAGTACTGCTTTTACTGTTCAATGATAATTTTTATTGCTTTTTAATTTCGCTTTTAGCACCGTCTATTGGTAGTAAGTTTCTTTTTAATTGAATCATTTCATGTGTAGATAGAAAACCTTTTTTCTGCGTGATTTCCCGTAGTTTATTAATATTCAGTTCTTTAAAATAATTTTTCTGTGTTACCTTCATTCTTTATTAATTGACAAGTCTATTGTTTGATATATTTTTAATGAAAAAACCTTTTAAAGATAGATAATGTAACTAATCAATTAAAAACCCTCAATAATACGAATTTTTATGAAAAGTTCAGTCAATTGACAAATAACATTATATTTTTCCGCAGAACCTGGTGAGCACGCGCACGAACTGTTCAATGAATTGAAATCAACATATCCGGATCATCTGCAAGTTTATACGTCAATGTTAACGTCGCTCGACTCGTCAGATGCTCCTCGTCATGTACCTTATGACGATATTTCAGATCAAACGATTCACTTTGCAAGTCAAATCATTTCTACGGCCGATGATATTATAAAAACGATTGATCAAGAAAAGTTGCTCGCGTACTACGGACTCAAATCAGATCAAAGAGCAGATGCTTTAAAAATAAAATCAAACATGGATAAGCAGAAAGTTTGTCTCATCGATGCTCTTGTTAAAAAAGGTTGTGCTCTCGCACGACTCTGTGTTCATGGAAAGAGAAAAGGTGACACTCAAGAGCATACTAAGGCACTCGCCGATTCTGTTAACAACATTTGGCGAGATGTTCAAAAGTTTGCTGAAGCAACAGATCCAAAAGTACATGAATTTTTCTATTACTATATATATATACCTAAATTTGAACACTTTAAACATTACTTATGGTATTTATATAGGTAATCAGTCTCTCCCTGTGGCATGCACATGTCCACAATCATTATGGCAGATATTTGAAACTACTGGCGCGGGCTTACGAAGATAAACCGGTTAAGGAAATCGACGAGAAATACATTGATATCGCAACAACTTTAGGCTGGAAACATTTAGCACGACATATTTCATCCAGTATACCGTTTAAATATCCAACGGCCTACTTCTAATTATAAAAATATCTCTTAATTTGTAGAAAATGAATTATTTATTCATACGTTTATCATCTTATTAACGTTGATGATATTATTTTTTGGATATTTTTAGATTTTGAATTGAGTACGGCCATCTTCATAACGACATTAAGCTTTTTCGTTTGTGCATTATTATCATTGAGTTAAAAAATTATCTTATACTGTTGAGCACTTTGTGCAAAACCTCTCTATACAGCAATAAATTACCTTATGCGATTGATTAAAGCTATATAAGTATCAGTCTAAGAGTTTTAAGTTAATCATCGTAATTACAAATTTCCGATTTTATTTAAGAAATACTTCGATAAATTAAATGTCTTCATCAAGTACAAAATAGTAAAATCATACGACAAGAACAGTTTTGTTTGCGTTCTGACTCGTCCTTTTTTTGAGATTTAAAACTCTACTAAATAGAGTTTTGTAAAATAACTATTTTTCAATTAAAGCAATCAAATCGAGTTCAAGCAAAGAAGTAATTGAGGCGTAAAAATTAAATAATTGTATCATTTAGAAATAAAATGACTGATTCTATTTCAAATATAATAAATTTGAATTAAAAACTTAAGATTAAAAATCTTTATTCAACCTTTACATCATATTTTTAATCATTTAAACTTTTTACCAATTATACCAGAGGCGGGTTTAAGTAAAAACTAATCTTAAATAAAATATTTTTATTTTTTAATTCTTTTCCCAAGACATTTTTAAATGCATAGTATACAAAGTAACAGATTACTGTTCATCTGGCTTTTTTACATTTTAAATACTCTATATTAATAAATTTGGATTTGTACTAAATCTCTTGTCATTAATGGATGTGCTTTACGTTATAACCTTTTTTTTAATAATTGTCAAAGTTGAAGTCACACCACAACTTCCTTAAGAATTGTATTTTTCATGAAAAGTACCTTAACAATTTCAGCTGCAAAATATATTCTGAGAGTCTCCAGTTACTTGATATATCATATATTTTCGATAAAATACGTTTTATCTTTTAAAAAGATATTTACAAAATTTACGAATATTTGATACAAATTCATCAATTTTAATATCACTATAATTTTAAAAGATCCATTTCAGTAATCATACATGACTACTGAATTACATTTAAATTTAAATAATAAATAAAAAAGTAAAGTATACGTAAAGATTTTGATTTTAAAACTTGATTAAAAAATTCCCTTGAAATGTTGTGAATTTTTGATCTTTTAATTTTTTAAGTTAATGTTCATTGATTTATGAAAATGTAAAAATCATTTTTGATTTGATGTAATAAATGTAGGATTACTATCAAAATATATTTAATGATTTATTATAAAACAAGGCTCTAATGTAGGTATAGGGGTACTGGTCCATAAATTTTTTTACTTACGTAAGAATGGTTCTGTTATTCTCTAAATAATAAATTTGACTAACTTACAGTGCCTTGAAATTCGACTATACAATTACTACAAGCTTATAATAAGCATATTAAAATTCAGTTCTTGAAGGCTCGTAAAAAAATTAGGTCAGAATATTCCGAATTTCATGCAAATGAATATATTTACAAAGTATCTATAGAAATCAAGCTAACTACTCCTAAGAAAAAAAATAAATGATTTTTATGAGTCATGATGAAAATTGTCAATTTCAAAAAGAAAAAACATTTAAACATTAAACATGAATTAAGCACACTTCTGCTTGGCCTCACAACTTTTCTGTTTTGTGTAAAAGACTTTACTTGTTCTTATCTAATACTTCTTTTCTGATGAAATATACCTAACTTTATATGTACAAATTCTTATAACTATAGAACTTATTAGTTTTGTATGTGTATTCACTGTCAAAAACTTTAATACACATTTTAAAAGTTTATTTTTAGTAAGTAAGTTGGAAATGCATTCAGAGTGCATTTAAAGCCTTTGTCATACATCAATTTGTATGTCACTATCATCAGCTTCACTACCTGTACTAGGTAATGCATCATCCCCAACTAAAAGGGCAGTAGGAAGATCTTGAGATATTTCTAGTCTTGGACCTGAAAAGACATTCAAAACTTGAATGGTAGGTGGAGATATTGAAAGACACTGTTGCACTGTACTAAGAGGGTCTGTTGATAAACCATCACAATCTAATGGACTTGTCAATTGCAATTGTAAGTTTTGGAGTTCTGGTATGTGAGGTCGAATCTAAAAATTATTTTTCATAATTAGTCAAACCCAGAATCAATCATAGTAAAATTCAATTTAAAAATTATATTTAATACCTTGAAACCCTCTCTTGTGTGAGGATTCCGACATCCTCTACATCTACACTCAAGACAAGGTTTACTTTCAACATAGCAAGGACACCTTTGCCCACAACATGTTAATTTTCCTGGAATAGCTGTAGCATTTCCACAACGACATCCTTTTCTTTTACTTCGGGATGAACTTGATCTTGACTGGTAAAAACAAAATTAAAATGTAATTGTAAATAACAAATAGACAATAGCAAATTAATTTAACAATAAACGTACCTTATTGTTTTTAACAATTTTTTTAGGTTCGCATTGGGCATAAGTTAACTGAGAAGCAGGAATACATTTCACAAGGCCAAGAGAAGGTTGTGATAATGTTTGTGGCACCTGAGATGGCTGCACAGTAGCAGACACTTGTGGCTCTATTTTTGGTTGCAATAAATTTACAGAATCTTCTGTTGTGGCAGCTTTTCTTCTAATGGTTATCTTATTACCAGTACCAGCATACATCACAGAATAAATAGAAGAACCATTGGAAACAGTCTTTATAGTAGGCGGCTCTTGAGTTGTACTAGCAGTCAGTTGATCTGCATGACTAACTGGTTGGGTATTCGTACTAACATTAGTTTGAGTAGAGGTAGTACTAGTAGTATAAACACAAGGTAAAATACTGTAAGCAGATCTTGAGAGACCTGCATTACTTTTGTAATCATCTTTGAATCCAGCTCCTTCATTGATCAGTTCTGCAAGACAGCTAGCACCCAAACAGGGTATACCATTAGCAGAATTGCTGTTAGTCACAGCAAGTAGAAGACACCTGTAGATGGGTGTGCTTGTGAGATATTCGCAGAGCTTTTTGTAGCACTGCAAAAGTATCCTGAGCTGTACATTCTCAACATACTTATCATAATCTTTGCACCAACCACAGGAGGGCTTGAGCTTTTTTCGTCCACCACGACAGTTTCGACACACATGATGCTGACAGTTAGTCTCTGTGGGAGTGTGTGGCTCAATGAGCAAATTCGAGCAGACAGTGCAGCTGAGGCTCTGGCGCAAATAGGGCACAAGTCGGTAAAGATCCTGCCAGGAGTTAGGCTCCTCGCTGTCAGCTTGAAGCACTAGACGGCAGGTTGACACGTAGAGGCTCGTCGCGTTCATGTTGACGAAGCAGAGGGGTACCGGCCGGTGCTTCGATAGTCTGGTGCAGTCTCTCACGAAGTCGCAAGTAGATCGGAGTTGGACATTAACTGTCGGCCACCGACGCCGGAGTCATTGACACGCGATATTTGTCATTATGCCTGCTCGGAGGCACCGTGACCACGAGAATCAAGAACATCGCTACCGCTCTATCAGAAGTGAAACTGCTGCCATGCTAAGGTTCAACCCGAGCTCCGATCTCACACCGCGCACAATTCAGCCTTGACTTTACTCCGAACTGACACAACCTGCCAATTGAGTATACGTGCGATAGCCAACGATCAGCAGGATATACGCTGTTTGGAGGCCGACGAATGAAGCCTGCCTCGTATTGTGCGAGCGCAGCAGTGCACTGCAGTTCTGCAGTCAGTCGGGGCTATACTTGATACGAGCTCAGCTTGATCGAGTATATTATATAGCCCTAATGCACGAATTCACAACAACACTACAGTTAGGTCGGGCTCTCAAAACGAACGAACTACAGAGAGCACACCGTGTCGACGAGGGCATTTGTGCTTGTATGGAGCAGATAAAAAAGCGAATCTATTTGTCTGCAGTGCAGAGTGCTCTCGTCGCGCGCAGCGAGAAACAAACGTAAACTACCGGTCGCGAACTGTAAACAATCAAGACATTCTGGAGTTTTTATAATACGAAATAGTTTACGCGGAGCAATGCTGCACGGACCGATGCAGAACTGACACTTTATAAGCAATTGGAATCAGCAGTTGTAAGGCCTACTCAAATGTCTTGCTGCACAGTGCATGCGTACGGGCGCGCGCAAGGCAGTCGAGTGCTTACCTATGGTTGGTTACCGGTTCCGGTGATGCTCTTTTTTTATTATTTATATCGAGTCTCGTGTTTCTAAAAAAAAGGCAACTGATAAGAAGATATTATTAGTTGAATCTTGAGCTCGACATCGAAGTCAAAAACAGAAATATTCAATTCAATACCAAAGGAATGCCTGGAATAATGAAGCAGAATTAAATATTGCCGTTTTGTGACGATTCATTTTTAAAAATTATTTGAAAATCATTTCGAAAAGTCAAATAAAAATACTTATAAAATCTGGGAAAAGGTAGTCTTACTAGAGAAATTTGACGTTATCTAATTTAATTTTATCTAAAATCCACACCTAATAATTCAAGTGTTTTTTAAATCATTTACCGAAATTTTATCATTAGTCTCCATGATTAGACTCTACAAAAATGTATCAGAGGATAAAAAATTTCTCCTCTATTATAAAAATGTTTCCTATATCAATAGCATATTAATGAAATTAATGGATTATTTAAAAAAATCATTTTAAAACTAATTTTAATGAGCGTGAATTTAGTGAATTCGTCAAATCTACACATCAAAGATAAGACATTTAAATTGCACTTACGATGAATTCGTTTGAACTTTAGTCATATTGTATTATTCAAAAAAAGTAAAAGTGATGTTGATAATATTGATTTTACGTTTATTCGTAAAAAGCCGGTTATGCATGCGCCGATGAAGTGTGTACATGGTATGCAGGTATAGTACCCATTACATCCAGATAACATCATGTTGCAACTTTACCATCTTATTATTGTACGGCCGAAGTGCCAAAAACGATAACATCATGTTTTTGTGTACAGATGGGGTCGTTGCTCTTACATAGCAGTTAGCACTATAATGACTTTTAAAAATGATTTTCTTTTTAATCAAAGAACTGCAATGAAAAATCGAAAGCTATCTTTGCGTTAATAGGGAAGCACATAGAACTTATATAGTTTTACTTTTAATAATGGTACAATAAAGAATCGAATCGAATTATTATCAAATTCATTGTAAGATTTCAATGTTGTTTGTAGCAATCTAAAGGGTTTCTTCGAAACTGTATACATTGTATGTAGATGTGGTTCTCAACATCTTTGATGATCCTCGTCTTGAAATTGCACTGGATTAATGGCATGTTTGTCACGCAAGACATTTAAATCAAGATTTTTAATTAGCATCCGTAACGTACCTTCGTAATCTGTATTCTATAATGACAGCAACGTGGCGGGTAGCCATGGCTATACGCAATGTTATCTGGGCGCGTGTAGTGCGTCTGGAGCGAGCATCATAATGTTTACCCATCGTAAACACACGTTACTATTCGGTCGGGCAGCGTCTTTGAAAGTGTATCTTTCTTGTTTGTTTTGAATTTGTAATAAAAAATTGTAGAAAGAAAGGATTGTTATGGTGTATTGAAGTGTCAAGAATCTGTTCTTAATACAAAAAACACAAAGTAATTAATTATTACATTTATTTTATGGAAAAATTTAATTCATTTCCAACCGTTATCATATGTGTCATTAAATAATGTCTGAATTAAATTGAATTTAATGCACATACATGTGCCGTTATTAATTTCACACGTTTCACGCGTTAATTCTTGGAATAATTTTATATTTAAACTATCATTTTTGCAAAGTGCATAAAGCTTATCTTTAAAAAGTTTTTTATTTACTGTTAGGTTTTCGATATGGAATTTGACAACTCGCCAAGGACGCCTAAATTAACAAGCGTAACCGACGAGCTGAAAGAAGTTTTATCAAAACGAAAATTGTTAACTACACAAACTCGAATGAAAGGTAATAAAAATTTTTATGTGATTTGAATCTAGACATTTTTTTGAAAATTGAATTTCATTAGAAAAAAATTAATTTATAACTTTTTTTTTTAGTATTGAGTACCTTAGATGAATTTAATGATGAACAAGATGCAAGTAAAGAAGAAAATCTCAGATCTCAAGCAATACAAGAAATTTTGACATCAGAAATCAGCTACATTAATCAGCTTGAAATTATTAGAAATGTATGTTCCAAGTTGAAATAATTTCTTGTAATCTTATAGCTGTAAAAATAATTTAATATATTTTTTTTCTCAAGTTTTTTATGGGACCTATACTAGACAAAAAACTCTTGAGTCGAGCTTCATATTCTACTCTGTTTGAAAATATAGATACAATATATAATGTTAATAATGAACTAGTACAACAGCTGAAACAAAATCCAGAAAATATTGCTCAAGCCTTTCACACATTGGCACCATTTTTTAAATTATACTCTGTTTATGCCTACAATTATAAACAAGCGTTGGATTTATTACAGGTATAAACAGGTTTTTCAGTAGTTTGTTTTACATGTGTTATTTTAAATAATGTCAAATTGTAAGATAAAATAACTGATTTTCATATGATGCAGCAAATTTTAGAAAATAGTCCAGAAGTTTCAAAATTTATAGCAAATCAAGAATCTAGGCCAGAAGTGAGCCAAAAACTTTCTTCTTTGCTAATAGCTCCAATTCAACGAGTACCCAGATATAAATTACTTCTGCAGCAGGTCATTCGTCACACTTCTCCTCGAACAAAAGCATATAATGAATTACAAGGTATGTAAGTTAGTTAGTATTGTTTGGATAAAGGAAATAACTATTAATTATTCTGTTTAGCTTCTTTGGTTGAAATAGAAAAAGTAGCATCTCATATCAATTCAATGGTAGAAGAATATGAAAATACCCAACAATTGCTTGAACTGCAAAAAGTAATAACTAATTTAATTACTCTGGTAAAACCCGGCCGAAAACTCGTCCGACATGGCAAGTTGATGCGCGTCGGACGAGGGGCAAGATCTGCATTTCGCCGATATTTTATTCTGTGCAGCGATATGATACTATATTGTAAGGGTGATCCAGAGTCAACCATGGAATGTTCCTGTGTATTTCCTCTTAACAAAACTACTATCAAAAGAGTATTTAGCACTGAAGTTTTTAGTCTGACATGCAAGGAGGAATATTTATTACTTTATTCAGAAATGGGAGATAGCGAACAGTGGATTACAGCCATAGAAGAAGCCATTGAAAAGGTAATCAAAAGGTGTGGTAGCACCTAGCCGGCAAAGTATAAAAATAAAATTATAAAAAAATTATTTAAAAGAAAAATATATTCATTACCTTGAATTATCTTGGAATTATTTTTAACCAAAGTAATTCTACTATTAAAAATTTATATTTCAGTACCAAGAAAATAGACAATCATTGAGAAAAGATAGTAGCTCTAGAATTCCTGTGCGAAAATTTATTCCTATCAATAAGGATGGTGAGATTGACAATAGACTACGGCGCAAAAGACCTTTAACTTCAATAAAAGAAAATAATGACAATTCCCTGAAAGTAAATCATCGTCTATTTTTGTATTTCGATTAACAAGAATTACGTTAATTTTCAAAAAATATTTGTTTTCTTTTTTTATAGTCAAATAATTCAAATGTTCATATGGATCAAAGCGCTGGAGTTGAAAAAACAACATCGAAAAGTAATTCTCCATTTTCTTTGCCATTTAAACGTTTAAAAAAATCGCCTACAGAAGAAGTGACCGCTAAAAAACATAATGGAATTTTGCGGAATGATAATTCAAATGACAAAATACATGAAACAGTAAGTAGAAAAAACGAAAAAATAATGAATGTGAGATCTATATATATTTTGAAATTTTCAGATATTTTCATCGAAAATATTTTCTCGTTCTTGCCTTTCAATGGACGTCACAGATGAGAATAATACTGATAATGAAGAAAATTTTAGACTCTTGTCATTTAAAACAGTTGGTACAATAATTTCAAAAGTTAGCAACGGTTTAAAAAGTTTATTTTATAAAAATTAACTCTGAAGCTGTTTAGTGTATGTAGAAAGAACGAAATTTTTTTTATACTAACTAAAAAATTGTATATAATAAATAGATATATAGTAAATAGCATTTTTAAAAAATGTATATCGTAATAAATGCTATTTCAAAAGTAACACAATGTGCTGAAAAATATGATGTGAGTTATTTTCTTGAATAAAGATAATTCATATTCGTGTTTATAATATCCGTATTATAGATACCCTATAATTATGTTTAAATGTTGTATGATTGATAACAATTGAAAAATACGTTGTATGTATATAAATGAGAAATTGAACTGTAAAGAATAAATTGAAAATGATTAAGATTTTATAATTATGACTTTATCAATAACCTTTAGTTGAAAATTGTATTAAAAAAAAAAAAAAAATTCTATTAAAAAAAAAAAGTTTTTTTTCGATCCAAGATGATGGCCAACATGAATATTACGACCTTCCTTTTAAGTGATGTGATAAATTTGAAAATTGATAATTACATAAACGAAGTAATATCAATTCATCAATTATAAGTAGTTCGGTCTAAAAAAATTGTTGTAGTTTTGGATGATTGCACGTGAGAAAATTTAATTTTTGTTGAAACTGAAAATCCATGGTCAAATGTATGAATGGATTTCTATTTTCAATCAGCTAGTTTGGCTCTTTTTTCATTTAATTGACATATCCATACATTTGGAAAATTAGGATAATACGACGGTAAGGAGTTGAGGTAAAAAAAATTAATAAATTTGATGTAATATGTTCATTGGATTTTTTATTGCATTCAACTATTTTCAATGCATTTAACTTTGTGTTTTCTTTATGACATATTGCTTAATTAAAGATTATTATAGGAAATGGTCGTGTCATTCACTACACTTTGTTGATGGGCATACGTTAAAAATAATTCACATTACTATGTACAAATTTATGCATCAATTATTTTATATTAAAACAGATAATCATTTTTTCTTAAATACGTTTGTACAATTTAAAATGGGATCTAAATAACTGCTGTAAAATTGTATCAATTTTACAACAGAAGTTATTATTACCACTTCATAAAAGTTCATATAATTCATTATGGCATCCAGTTATTTTTACTGTGGTTGACAATCTTGACAATTTTACAAGATACTTGAAATTTCAAAGAAATCAAAATAATTTGTCAAATCAACATTATTTGAGTAAATTATTTTAGCAATTTTCTTAACAAACTAATAATTTTGTAAAAAAATCATCGATTTAAGGTGTTATTTTTTTAAATGACGCCTATACAGACTTTTTTATTACATTGTTATCATTGAATACATTGGATATTTATTTACAGATATTTTAATATATACACCCAATACATATTGTTCACTCTTCAAAGTTAATTTTAAAATGTATTTCCTTTGTATGTATAATAAATTACATTTTTAAACTAGTACTTGAATTAATTAATATAAAGCAACTTGCTTACGTAATCCTAATAATACCAATATTAGATTGTTATTAAAGATGGAACAACTAATATTAAACAATTTGTTTGCAGTCTCTGTAGAAACTTGTAATTTTATGCTTTGAATTCATTTTTTTGCATATCACAGTTTATTTCAGCATTGATATACATTACTATGTATAAATAAGAATTTTAAAAAATGTTAAAATTGATTGATTAATAAATCTTTTGTTATAATAATATACAAATATGAATTCGTGTAAATTGAAATGTTTGCAATATATTAAAATTATTGCTTGTAATAACGTAGAAAAAGATTAAAATTCAATGGGATTCTATTTTCTCTACTTTGATCATTTCCATATGTTTTAGCTAACAACAATACTTCATAAATAATCAGAAGCCCAAGATTAAAAATTATAGTTTTTAGAAATGATTGGTCAAAACATTAGGTTGACCCAGTTTCTTAATCAAATTCGCTATTTTTAGTTCAGAAGTGAATTTTTTTAAACAGTCATTAAAAAATGCAAGTCTAATAAATTGCTAATTATATACTCAGTGAACATTTTTTTAATGATAAAATTATGATCAAAATATGAAGTTTCATCAGTACTAATATAAAAGCTCTCTAAGATGTTATATCTATATATTCTCAAATGAACCTATAAATGAACATATGAAAGCAAAAAAATATTTGATGAGAATTTAAAATTTTTATCTTCTCAAACCGATACTCATACTTTTATTAATTTCATATAGGAGTTAGGAACAATTTTTAAAAATATTTTTCAAGTTTAAAATATACTCAAGGACTATAGGCGTTTGAAATAGTGATCTTTTAGAGATTATTACACAGCAACTTGTCTTGAACTTGAAATGAATAAATGCATTAAAAGACATTTATTAAAATTATTGATATTTGTCCTACAAATTTGAATTTAGTAAAAAGTTCTTTCCACGTTCTTTAATTATAAATGCACCAAAATAAGAACAATTGATATTCGAGAAATTCAATTAAAGCCCTTTATCAAATAGCAAACTGGAATTTTGGATGAAACTTTTAAAATTTGTTTTATATAAACTATACTACTTGATAAATTATGTAAATAATAAACAATTGAACTCACATAGAATATTAAATTTTTCACATGCATTCATACTATAAGAAGCAAGTACTAAAATCATATAGATACTTGCTTTAATATATCTTTTATATCATTAACATCACAGGTGCACCACTCAATGAATTAATTTAATATACCGACTAGGTTTTATAAGCATTTTGGAGATGCTCGATAACTTGATTTTGGAAATAGATAGATGATGGGTTAAATTTACAAACAGGATTCATAAAACCTTTACAAACTGCAGAGATGAGTATTCACCTAATATCAGCGTCACATGTATTTTCTTGACTGCTTGGTATTGTTTCAGCTTCCATGGCTTTTACTTGTTGAATACCATTGCTATTGCTATCTGACATACTAGTATCATCACTTTGCATACGTCCAGATGCAGGGCTACTTTCTTCAGCAAGCTGATTAGAAAAATTCGGCGAATCTACGCTTGATATTGACTCTGGTGTCCCTACCGAACCAGTACTATTTAAAGTAAGAGTTGAAAACGGACTAGTTGATGTTTCGGCTCTGTAAAATTAAGCATAAATTTGAATGGTTACTATTATTTTATTTTTACATTTTTATAATAATTGTCAAAGTGAAAAATTGAATTATACTTTGAATCTATTGAATTATTTAGTCTAATGTTTCATTGGAGGTTAAAAAAAAAAATTGATAATGTATTATGTATTAATTTTGATTATGTAGTGATTAAGTAAGTGGGTAATAAATTTACCGTGATGGGTTGACTAAACTAAAGGCTCTTTTAATAGGAGGTTGTATCAACCGATCAGAATTTTCATCTAGTTCAAATTTTCTTTTCATTGCTGCTCCTCCAAGACAGCTTGGGCGAATTGAAATAGGACTTAAACTTCTTCTGAAAAAATAAATTATTTTTATTAAGCATTCGTTTTTGAAATTTTATACTTATAAAGTTTATCATTGCATTACCTGGTAGCAAAAGCTTTCCTAGTTGGACTTGGTGATAATGATCCATTTTTCCAAGCTACTGAGCAAGCATGCAAACTCGGTGAAAAACATTGCCTTTGGCCTAATCCAGATCTTGTAGGCGAAGGTGAAGAACACGATGGAGAACCAGGAGATAAACTCAAACTTAAAGTATCAAAGACCTTTTTGTGCTTTTTATCTGGCTTAACTTGTGATGATGTCCCTAATGGAGGTGATTCTGTAGAAGAATCTTTGAAAGTTAAACTTTCAGTTTCAAATGTCAAATCTTCCCAAGATTGGGAAATTTGTATAGCACTATGAATTTCTTTTTCATGAGCTGCTTCACGACCAGCAACTACGTCAATACACTCCTCTCTTCTTAACTGATTTACTCTTGGTGCTAATCTTGGTCCAATGGCCATCACAGCTGCTGCAGTTGGACTCTAAAAATTGAAAGTAATTAAAGATTAAAATTTTATGATTACAGAGTTTTTGCATGGTTATGCAAGTGGTTATGCATAATGAAGCTATGGCATGTTAATTTAAATATTATTGTAAAAAAATATTATGATTATTAGGAATTGCAAAATTCAAAATATAGTCAAAAGTTTATATATTAGTACTTACGCTTGTGCTGAATCTCCTTGACCGGGATATATTGGAAAAATTAGTAAACGGGGATACAGCATCTCTGGAAAATTAAGAATTTTTTAAATAAAATGAATATTTTGTCAGTAAATTTATAAAAATATGATACTGGAATAATTGTAAGGAAAAAAATTACAGTTGCTCAATGTTTTACCTTGGAGGAGCAGGAGTGGTGGTTGCTGTAACAGACATAGTGGCAGCAATTTCGTTGATCATGGGTGCACTATTAGATCTTTTGAGACTAGTTTCTCCTGAACAATCAATGTTCATGGGAGTCACACCGTCGTTGCTTTTGTTGTTTACAAGAATATTTTTGTCCAACATTATCGAGCTGGTAAATTGTTATAGCCTGAGCTGAGCTGCTCGTTGCACCGGTCATAGAGTCGCTACGACCCATCGACGCTCTTTTCGAGAGACCAAGCACTAGATGAGTTGAAATTTTGAAATGATTCAATTGTCAAATGGAATGGACTAGGACTTGGAGGAGCTTGGTGAGAAACACGATGTTACATAGACGGAGCACGATGAGCCTTACGATATGTCGCACAGAATGGACGTCTCGTCGGAAAAGAGAGAACATACACTGAGGCGCACGTATATAAACTAGTATTACACAATCGCGAGTAGCGTGCCGTGCTTCCACGCTATCGAGTGCAGCAACAAAATCGTCCCGTCTCCGTCGACGTATCAAAGCTGTGTTTCTCCTGAAACGTGAACTGCTCGCAACGAGCGAAGCACAAGACGCACCAAAAAATTCCGCCTCTCGAGAGCTATGCTCTTCTCAAACGCTGCCCACTTTGGAATCGGAATCCTAGAAAAGTGACGCTGCACAGCTGCACTCGCGTTTGGTTCGCATGCAGCACGTATATAGTGTATATAACAACAGCATATATACGAGAGGAAAGCGAGACGCGCGCCGGCACTGCGTATAGGCTTTGCAAGCGAGGCGCATGCACGCTTTTATGAGCCTGCAATGCTCGATACTACTACTGCGGGTTGCAGCCTGCAGCTCTGACCTGGCTCGAGACCCCGATGTTGTTGCGCGATGCGCCAACTTTTTTTATTGGATTATTTCGTGAAAAATTCAATATTATGCCGCTCGTAGGTTGTAGGACGTCCGGAGATTGATTCTCGCGCTTGGAAATTGTTTTTTCCGATTCGACGATGACGAGCCACAGCCTGACCACTTTATCTCGGAGATTGGCGACAAATGAATTGACAGACGTGAAAAAGATTCAACGTGCACTTTTCAATTCGGTTGAATAATCTTTACTCCGTTTACCCAGTGAACTTATCTCTCTCTCTGGCTTTTGTTTTTACTCGGAGCTCACGAATTTAAAAAAAAAAGAGGAAATGCGCCTTATGTAGCTAGTCGTTGAGGAGCTCGAGCAAGTAGATTCAGCAAAAGAGCAGAGAGTAAAAAGAAGGTACCAAGATGAAGAAAAGCAGTCTCGTACGAGGAAAAACTCAGATTACTTGGCACAGACACTACACTCGCGATTTTTGCACTTTTTTGCGTCGGCTCACCGATGTTATTCAGTTGATAGAGCGAGTATCGTCTCGACCCATTTTCATTGGAGTCACACTATAAACAACACCGCGATCGCTTCGTTGCTCTCGCTCAAGCTCGCTTATACTACATGTAATATGCCACACTTGCCGTATTATAGCATGCACACACACACCGACGCGTCCTATCACGTACGTACCAGAGAGACAGACTCGTGGTGTACATTTAACTATGAGATGCATGCACGGAACGTAGCAGTCAACTCTGCTCGGCCAAGCTGACTATACTGATCGCGCAAAAGCAAGGCAAAAGTCTCGGGAGCTTGCCTGGGCACACTACTGTGTTTCTGCGCAGACGGGGTTCAGTCAGTCAGCACAATAATTCAGCATAGCAGCTCAGAGTAGCACTATAGCTAGCCGCAGCGCCAGCCAGCCAGTCAGAGCAGGTAATTAACCGAGCTGACACGCAGTGCTGCCACTCTCGGTTCATGCAAGTCGCGTATTTCGAATGTTATCCTTTGTGTATAATAATACCTATTCTATATGTTATAGCTGCGAATGTTGCTGTAAGCGGTGTAAAAAAAAAGTTCGGTTTTTTTCTTTTGTTCTTAATCCGATGCTTCAACGACGTTATCAATTTCTTTGTGGAAATTAAAGTCAAATATTTGTTCGATTTCAATAGCAAAGATAGTAATTTGAAAATAATTAGGTGGCTCAAATTCCTAACAATATTTTTCATCGATATTCGAGGGAATGCATAATTTTTGTGCCCGAAGTTTCAATTGTAAGAGTAACACGATGCACGAACTGTCAAAGAGAATTTTCGAGAATACATACTCAATAGTTCTCAATATTTATTTCATTTCTCTCTTTTTTTTTAACTTTCTACAATATACAATCAGAAATCTCTCACCACTCTGTTCTTTTTTTAATTTATAGCATTTATTATGAAAATTCTTTCAAGTGCATCAACTTCGGAGCAGAGAAACGGAGTGATCAACGAGAAAAACGTGTTTCGTCGCGCAAGGCGCGAGAAATCAAACTTCAGCTGAGCACAATTTTTATTACACGTAATGTAGACATATTAAAGTGCTGTTGCACAATCGCCAGCGCGGAAAAATGCAACAAAGCGATCGTTTATACATGTAACAATGTGCAAAGTAACGCGATATTTTCGATGCGAAAGGAAAATAATTCGTGTCAAGAGCCTCATTAGAAGCGGTGTGAATCAAGTTTTTATCGTTGATGAGTCGCGACTAACAATAATGCAATTTGCACTCCACCGTGCACCATCCATGACCAATGCAAAATACGATAAGTGGAGAGGAGCAATCGATGCAGCATGCAAAAGTGCACCATATCAATTATTCCACAGACACAATTGGCATTGGAAATTTGCCATCGTGTTTTTCAAAAACTCCATTTTCTTCGTCCTTCGTTCTAAAATAAAAACTCGCAATGAGATTTCATCAAAGGAAAAAGAACGATAATATTGATCGTTAATGCCTTTCACGCTTCCACACTTATACCATACTTGTTTTCATCAAGATTACATTATATGCGTTACATTTCCCAATACATAATGCAGCGATAAAAGAAACACATGGCGCCTCTCTCAACGGTAGACATTCCGAATATGTAATCTTGACGATAAAGTTAGACCGAAGCCAGATGAAAATTTTTCGTATTATCATCAAAGGAGGGTCTCTCTCACGCTGCACACGCGTAGCCCCTCACATTTACGTATCGTTCGTGTTAAAATGTTCCGCGACTGAGTGGATTGAATTTCGTGTCGTAGCTTTACAAAACTCGTCAAACTCGACGTACTCGATAAAACTTACATGAGTTTTTTTTGCTTTGTAATCTATATAGGTAATTTCGTGTATTGTGAAGTGACTGGTAGTATATCGGTGTAATTGAGATATTTTTTAAATTCGGGATATCAGACACGAAGATCAAGGGAGAAGCTATATAAATATTTTTATTGTTGAGTAAATTGAATGAAAATGATAACTACTAAAGGCTCTTAAAGCACTGTAAAAAAATTATGAATATTTTCAAAACAATAGCATTGAAAATCAGGTCTAAGGAAGAGTGGATTTTTAATATACTTCTGGTAGTTCTCCTTTTATAAAATATGTTTCTAGAATCCTTGAACTTATTACTGAGGTATTTTCTATCTCTATTCTTAAGAAATGTAAAGAAAACATGCTTCTTCTAATAATAATGAAAACTTCGTTTAGTGAATGACTTGAAAAAATGAATATTTTGTTTATTGTACAATGAAAGACATCGATTTACTACAATACGAAAGATTTGTCTCGCGCGTCATGAAAACTGTAAAAAATTTAATTAATTAAGTTTAATAAATTATTTCATTCTGGTTTACACAGCTGATTTCAAATAAGTACCATGAATTTTCAGTTTTCATGACACACGATTCCAATTTCACATGAAGTGATAAATCGACCACTTTCAGAGTCATATTTAAAAAGTTTCCCGGCCTTACTTATAATATTTAAAATATTATTTAAATTGTACATGAAACCCAAATTGAATAATGAAGTCAATGATCTTATCAGTTATATTTAATACACTTACTCCGCCTAAACTTTTATAACAATAATCACATATATTGATCTTTATCGGCATTACTATAATTTTAGTTAATTTCGAGCAAGTTTCATTAGCTAGTCTCTGCAAATGAACTGAAAAAATGAGTTTTTCAGTATCGAAATAGGATACGTATAACAGTTCTTGAATTATCTATCGCTACTTATTAAACGATATAACGTATTTTTAATGAGAACGACGAGCGAGAGTCCTCGATAAGGTAGATGAAGGCGTTATCTTCGAAGTTGGCTTGCTCAACAGTTGAGAGTGTAATGCCTCTTAAAATTAGCGTCACTCGTCTAAATATACGTACGAGATTAATCTCGTGAATGAAAAGTGAAAATGTGACATACGCAGTCGGAAACTACCGTTCCAAGGCAAATGGCCAAAAATGTGTTGGACCGAGCGACGAAGAACAAGAAACGCGGAATGTGCACAAGTTCGTGCACATGTCCGTAGTTTTTAATGCTACATAATCGAAACTGGACCTAGGCCAAAGTGACGTCCTCTTCTCGATCACATTCACCCGTGATTACTTCGAGTTTATATTTGTTGCGATACAGGACTCGCAGCGTCGTACAATTAGGAAGAGATGCGAGAGGAGTGTCGTATTTAATAAGAATGTCGAAACCCGCACTGATGTATAACCATTTGCGCGATGGGATGATTTCAAAGTGCTTAGAAAAAGAGGAAAGAAAAGAAAATAAAAGAGAAAACGCATATGCGAGAAACTATGGAGGCAGGAGCGTCCACATTAGATACAAAAGCTTATTATGCATAATGTTGTGTGTGTCCCTCGCGAGGGGTTAGTCGCGTATAAGATATGTGTGTCTGTGTGTCGGACTTTTAAAGGAGAAGAGCTCCGAAGTCTCTGACAAGTCGACACCTTTACAAATGGAATGTATCTGTACGGCAAATGCTTGTATGTGTGTGCGTATTTAAATACGCAGGAGAATCAGTGAGAGGCAAATTCGGGACGGACCCTAATATACGCGCACCGATGGTCGTTTCCGCGTGTGGAAGACCTATACACAAATCTCGTCGGTCAGTCCCTGCAGTATACATAAGTATAATACAGTGCCAAGGCAGTGCTCCGCTTACGTATCGCGACGAGACAAACAACAAAGATGTGTGCTATATCTCTCTGGTAGTGGCCACTTTTTTTTTATAACACGCACGCATATTTATACTCGGAGCATCGGTCATACTACTCTACTCTGGCCGCGCGCGCACTTGGCTAGTAGATCTGCTCCGTTAATTTCTAACGCTCACCTTTTACATATTACGGGTAGGATGGCACGTAGGCTTACTTATATAAACATTGTATCTATTCTTGTGCAAATGATGCGTGCACCTCTCGCTCCGCACGCATCTATATAGGTATAGGTCCTATATATGTAGGCTTCTTCCGTCAGTAATAATAATATATACACATATAAAACTCGCATGGGATTTCTTCTCAGAGATACGAGGACTGCCTGGGCTTCGCTCGTTCATTCATCCATGTATATATATGTAGGTCCTATATAGGCATATATGTTACAAGCTAGGCGCGCGTTCACTTTTAAGATTTATGAAGCGAGCCATTGAGATTTTAGATTCCTCGAAATGAATTACGCTTCGGGCCACATTTACTATAACCATATATACGTATACCAGGGCCCATATTTTCATCCCAACTTTTGATCGTTTTATTTTCGTTCCGATCAAAAACGCGTTACCTTTATGTCATTTCGATTTTATAATATACACTCGGCAACAAAATTATCGCAACAAAAAAATTCATCGAAATTTTGTCGATTTTCAAATGTTTCTATCTTGGGCTAGATTTATCGTATCGACACGCTTTTTTTTTTAAATTTCTTGGAAATTTTGTCCTCTTTAAATCCATATAAATTAAGATAAGATTTGAGTCAATGTTGAGTTACCAGTAGTATTTGAGCGTGACCCTAAAAATTACTGAAAAAAAATGACTGTTTGAACGTGTACCAGTACCACAGTGATTTTTTTATCGAAATCTAACATACACCATCGCAAAGTGCTCTTTTTAACGAGTAATTTAAAAAAAAAAAGACCTCTCTACGATTTTTTTAACGCCCTGTAGGTCGATTTGAAGGTACGGTTTATGTACGCATAATGCCCAGAAAATCGTCTTGATTTCAGGTAAACGGGGGATTTTACGTACTTTAAATGGTATCTTCAAATCGACCTACATGGCGTTAAAAAAATCGTAGAGAGGTCTTTTTTTTTTTAAATTACTCGTTAAAAAGAGCACTTTGCGATGGTGTATGTTAGATTTCGATAAAAAAATCACTGTGGTACTGGTACACGTTCAAACAGTCATTTTTTTTCAGTAATTTTTAGGGTCACGCTCAAATACTACTGGTAACTCAACATTGACTCAAATCTTATCTTAATTTATATGGATTTAAAGAGGACAAAATTTCCAAGAAATTAAAAAAAAAAGCGTGTCGATACGATAAATCTAGCCCAAGATAGAAGCATTTGAAAATCGAAAAAATTTCGATGAATTTTTTTGTTGCGATAATTTTGTTGCCGAGTGTACAAAGTGCAACTTGACAGTCGCCGCGCGATATATGTTCCATCATATTCGAGCTCACTGATGTAAATAAAAAGAAAAAAAAACATTCGAGCATAATTAAAAGGTTTTGGGAGATACGATTATACGTGACTCATATCTCGCCATGAGGCCGCAAAATAGACGAACGATATGTATTGTATAAATATACGTGCGGTTTTGAAAATTCCTTCATCTCACACTCGAGTGTCAATAACTTTCTATACGTCCATCGAGAGTTCCGCACGAATACAATTGTTACTTCGCTCGAGGACTTGTGTTCTAAACCGATTCTCTTTGTACCTTCTTGTGTATAACTGTTGGATATCTGTAATAGTCTATACAGGCACCTTGCCACTGTGTAGGCTGAAAAAGTTTCCGGACTTTACACAAGCGCGCAGGCTCACACATACACACAATACAATGAATGTATAAATGAAGGATCTCAATTCACGATAATCACGAGCAGTTACTCTGTATATGACGTACATGTGTACGTATCTTCCGTGTAATAGCTTCGAGAAATATGAGAAACGAAAGCATCAAATATAACTAAAACTTTGGTCTCTTGCTGTGGCAGCTGCTGCTTCTTTCTTTCTCTCTCTCTCACTCTCACTCTCAAATTGGGATCGAAACAAGAATGCACCGCATACCAAGAGAGCCTGAACCCCTCCTAAAATCTCCTCAAATGTGATTAAAGTTATCCACGAGTGATTCTGTAAACTTAAAGAAAAATAAAAGTAACATCAAAAATAATATTTAGACAGTTTTTTGAATTGATTATAAATTGAATAAATAGTTGATTTTTAAGTCTGTCCCGAATAATTCAGGTATTTATTAGTAGATTATTCAAATAGTAAATTTTACGGTTTTTTATAAATTTAGTTATTTAGAATATATTAAGTATAATTAAAGCAATAATATCTTTAATTATATTTATTTTTCCCCACATTCGATGATGTAAATTTACATGCCTAAGGTTGGAAAAGGAACATTGTATACGTTAAAGTTAGTTTTGAACTAATAAAATTTTATGTCTAAAAAGATATAATTATTTTTTTTAAATACATACAATTTGTGGACAAATCACACAATACTTTTTCTTTGGCAAAGAAATCTCATTTCTCCTGAAAATTTTAATTGATTGTGTGCGCATTAAAAAAAACGAGTTCAGTTCAGCTGAGAGAAAAAATGTGTTCATGCGCACTTGTTAACGCGTACGAAGGAGCAAGTAATACGTTTTTGTTATGTGCATACGTATTTTTTTAAAGTCCTTGCCTTTCAATAGCGATAGTATCGATAAAATTTTTCTGGTAATTTTTTCATTTTGGTAAATTTAATTACTAGACCTGAACAGACCTGTGGCATGTGTCGCGCAATTATGTGTCTCTATTATTCAAAGAATCCTGTTTGATGTGATTTTTTTAAACAATCCATGAATTCGACATCAAGCGTTAAAATGATAAGTCAAACTATCAACATCGACTGTGACTTTTACCATCTATACTGAGAAAAAATTCTACTGAATCGATGAAAACTTCGTTGGTTCAACAAAACCCACATAATATTCTTTATCAAATATTTGGTTGAAACAATGAAGTTAGTCATGGAATCAAAAAAAAACTTTTGTAAAATTGTTCAAATATTTGATTGAATCAATATTTTTAATTAATCCTCTTTTAGTATTATTAGATTAGATAGTAAAAAAAAGGAAAACTTGAGATGTTGGATGTTCGGCCCTCTTTTCATTCTGATCCGCCTTTTTTTAAATACTCGTGAATTGTTGCACGTCACTTAATTAATTTATTTATTAATTTTAATAAGATAGAGAAATATTTTGCCTGAAATCTTGGCATATACTCAGTTGTGCACAATCGAGCACAATACGTTTAATTGCGACCGTATGATGAAATAGATTATATATTAACGAGTAAACGTGTTTTTGATATTTTGTTGATTGTTTATGACACATTCGATTATTTACTTCATCGACGTTCGCAACCGAGTGAAACCACGAGACCAAGTGCAACCGCACGTACATAGGTGCGCTATTATCCGTTCAGTAGATACACCGACGAAGCGTCTCCGTGTTTATTTACTGTCGAGCGCGAGTCTCGCATTTCGCGTGGTGTGCGGTGTTTGTCTACTACTATTTAAATCGGAGTCGAGCAGACGACACGCTCGCAGCAGCCGTCGCGCGAACTGCAAAGTGTCGTAAACGCGTCGCGCTGCATATGTGCTGCGGCCGCGACTGCATGCGGGCCAGAGGGAGGGAGATGTGCGCGAGCACATGGCACGCCTGGCGTCTGGCGCTCGCGTAACATATATAGACAGACAAATACTGGGTATAGAAGTGCAATTTCATATTGTATATCTGCGCGATGTCGAGAGTAAACATCCGAATGTTTTTAATGACATGTGCCTCGCCAGACATTGTTGTCTACCAATAGCGAGGCGCATCGCAATTCGGGCACGAGCTATTTATTGCCAGCTCGGAGCAAAAACACGACGCAACCCGCCAGCAAGTAGACCAAGTGCACGAATCGACGCATACGGGTTAGTGGCTGGCGATACCTCGTTCTGATACACTTACTCGGAGACAGCCTTACGCTTCAAGCGTCTTCTGCTAGGCCTCCCGTAGTGCTTTTTTTTGCGAGTCTTCTGGCCATTGAGTCAACAAGTTTCAAGCTTCGTGATTTCGACGAGGACATTTCTAAAGCTTCGTTTTTTCCTGCCCCGGTGCCGTTGTGATCGATCAAATTATTAAGAATAATCATTTGGTGAGAAATAAGTGCATAGCATTATGACATAACCTCTTGGGACGAAATTAAATTAGAAAGTTTAAGCCTGTAAGCAGAAAAGACAGTGACATTTTTAATAGTGCGCTGCAAGTGAATCTCGTCGTTCTTAGTAAACTTGAATCTCAAAAAAATTGCGTGACATGTTAAGAGTAGCAGCTAGAGTTTTATGCCAAAGAAGCAGCCCTTCGACGTCCTTGTCAAGCTGCGCGCTGTCAGTTATTCATCGACGTTATACCGAGAATGACAACAAAACCGATAATTTGTCGATTGCGAATAGCAGTGACAGACGAAAAAATACCGACAATGTATCGGAAGGCAGCAAAGTCAAGTCGCCGTCTCGCGTAACAGTGATGAAGAAATACTGGATCTTCCGTTATGTAGATTATGTGAAAAATTACGAGCAGGTGATGGAAAAAAATTTCCCGACCACCATGCACGTTTACAGAGTATTTAGCGTTGGTACCAAAGTCTTTTATCAGGATCTCAAACGATTTTTAAAAGTGAGCAAAAAGATTCGCAAGCAAGGCATCGATACGCTTTCGACAGACGAATTACAGCTTGCCTTTACAATGCCCAAGGATTTGATTAGGATATCTCCTGTGCTTCTCATTTCTGCTATACCGTTTACCTTTTATATTATTTTTCCACTAGCTTTGTACTTTCCACATGTTGTACTGACCTCGCATTATTGGTCGATTCAGGATAAACTGAATTTTATGTTAAAAGAGCACAAGCAGCGACTGAAACACAACAAGCCTCTATTCCGTTGTTTTCAAAGTCAAATAAACAAAATTAAAGATCAAAAGTTGCAGGAATCTGTTGGAAATATTGTTGCTTGTCTTGGAAGTGGAACTCATCCAACAGTAGAAGATATACTTCAATGCAAATCATTATTTTCTGGACTTCCATACTCGTTAAAACATATAAAAAGAAAGCATGTTGTGAGTTCTCTTTGTTTTTTAAATATGAATTATCTATTATACATAATAGTAATGATTGAATTAATTTTACAGAAAGAATTATTAAAAGTTCATGGTATGAGCACATACACTTTGAGAAAAAGGAAGAAACTTTTAGAAAGAGGATTATTAATAAAAAGAATGGATGCAGCTATTCAACGAGAAGGAGGACCTTCTATGTTATCATATGATGCTATTCGCTGGGTAATTCACTGAACTTTATTATTTAAAATTATTCACCGTTTAAAATGCAATATTGATTTAAAAATTATCTTTCAGGCACTGTCTTTTCGAGGGTTAAATCCGGTTAATATGTCATTAGACAGTATGCAATCCTGGCTAGATCAGTGGTTATTAATATCGTCAAAAGTTGATGCAGACAGTATTTCATTACTTTTACATTGCCCAATTTTACTTGCTTACAATCATGAGACCAATTGGACTCTTTTATATCACAGTCAACAAAAGTAATAGATTTTTTTTTAAATTATCCTATAGTTCAGTTTTCATGAACATATGTACAAAAATTCATCAAGTCATACCCTGTGGAAGCATTGTGATAAAAAAATAACAGTGTATATATTTGAATAAAAAATTGTTTATTTCTGAAAACGATTTCTTTTTTTTTTGTACATATATTTTTATATACATTGAAATTTATAAATTTATTGCATATTTTTTTTTCTTTTTGCAAAAAACCCATCTAAAATATACTCTAAGTACTAAAAATAGACAATGAAAAAATATCACAGTTGTAAAGCAAAATTAATAGAATATTAAGTTGCCAAAGTAATTTTACCATGATGCTAAAAATCACTATAAAACAAGGAGCACAATTCACTAAATGTCAATCAATAGGTATATAAGAAGGAAGATCACCAATAGGTGGTCTTTGCGCTCTTTCGCTTGAGGTATTTACATCAGAATCAGGTGACAAATCTTCTGCGTCGTTTAATTTAGATTGATCAATTGTTGAATTTTCACTATCAGCATCTGCACTCATTGTTGCTAAGTGTGCATCCTTTATGATTTGTACTTGTTTCATAATTTTATTTTTTTTCTCTTCCAAGTCTTCACTAGCTTCTTCATAATAGCGTTTTTTTGACTCGCTCTCGAGAGCGTTTACATTGTTAGATTTAATAGGAGTTTTACATTTTTTCCGCGCAACTTTTTTAGACCCGGAAACTTTTGATTTGTGAGGATATGGACACTTACCTTTAGTACAGCTTCCGCTCTTATCAAACTCTGGGCATAAGAACTCATGACGCTTCTGGCACTGTATGAGAAAAGAATTTATGTTTGGATTATTGGCAAAAAGTTGAAACTTGGACTTTTTTCACTTGGACACAAAATATCTAGGATTAACCTTGCACGGATAGTTTAAAAACATAACAAGTATATTATTCACAAATCATTGAAGTATGAATGTTACAAACATTATGTGTACACGTGGAATTTAATTATTAATCCTTTAAAAGTGAATTTAAAAGTTTTCAAATGCATTATTTAATTCAATAATACTGATGAGAAAACTATCACAATAAACTGATTTTTAATTTCAACAAAATTGAATTTAATATGGAGCTTTAATTTGTTAAATGTAGTAATGCAAAGTGGATTATTGTTTATTTCAGAAGAAAAAAGCATAATACTTGTAAAAAACCAAATTATCTTTTCTTACCTCATTACCCAGTGAACAAAATCCTTGTAAAAAATCAACACATATGGCACTTTTGGATGATTGTTTAACATGTGAATATGGACATGAATCTCTATTGCAGCAACCTTCTAGGAAGAATCTGCATGTAGGCATTTTTTCAGGACCAACATCATGTGAAAGTAAACAGTCACTTTTTAAACATTTTCCTTGAAGAAAACTATATAATACAATTATTTTAATAATATTATCTCATAAGCAACTAAATATTTAAGACTAAGAGTTACATTAATAATTACTTTTGACAAACTGCAACTTGTTTTTTATTATGCACCTTAGTACATGAACCTGTTACTTGTTTCTTGCAATATCCAAACCTTTGAAAAAATAAGCAAGGCTGATTGTTTTTGCGCATTTTATTTCGCAAAATCAGAAGGCTTCTTTGTTTGACCTTGTTACTAAAAAAAATTACATTTTTGATTTATTATTATCATTATTATTATAGATAGGAGTTTTTATGACTTACCTTGCATAATTTTTACTGATTTTATTTGGAGAAATAAAGCTGGATGACACATTCAATTTGACTGGAGAAGCTTTCATTTTTTTTGCATTAGAATCTAATTTTAATAATTTTTTGCCATTTTTAGCTATATAATACTGTCCAGTTAAGCTACGTTTTCCTGAATTTAATGAGATTATTTTCATACACTGTTCATTGAAATAATAATTTTTTTTAAATAAGAGGATATGATTTTAACTTACGTTTAGGTGTACAGACAGATGAATTGCTACGTACTAATTTATTCCTACTTTTTTTGTACATGACTCCATCAATTGAAACCAATCCATGCAAATTGCTCCTAAATAAAATTGAATAAAATTGCAGTTGAGTTTAATTCAAATTACTAAATAATGTAACATTTTGTAATGTAATTTTACTTACAAGTTTCTTTTCATGTTAATGCTCTTAGGAAATGGAGTAATTTTTTTAATATAACTTTTGTTAACACTTGGATGAACTTTTTCTGAAACCAGAGTTATCGAAGAAGTTCTAGGTTTCTTTTTGATTCTCACTATTTTTTGCTTTGATAGAGTTATAAAACTAGAATTAGCACTTTTTTCTACTGATGCATTGTTTTTAATAATTTTTGTTTTAGATTTAACTATATAACTTGAAGAATCGGATAATTTTGGTTCTACAACCAAAGATGGACTTGAAGTTGGAATTTTTTCAGTTGTGTCAGCTTCAGATGAAGTTATATTTTCTTCAGATTTGATTTCTTCTTTGGGTGTAGATGAAACTTCAGGAACACTTGTACTATTTTCAGGCTTATTAGATGGTAACATTGTTAACAGTTTTAATTGAATTTCTTTTGAAATATTTTTAGAGACTTCTTGTTGATTTGGATAACCACCAGTATTTTGTAATACTTTTGGATTTATATGAATAGGAGTCTTCACTTGAACATGTGGGTTAACATGAATTGTAGCTTTTCTTTGGGTATAATAAGGATTAACATAAACTTTATTACTTGTTGGTTGAGTCAATGCTATCTGAGATGTAGAGCTACTGGCCAAATGACTATTAGAATTCAATATCTGTTGATGTATGTTTTGAACAAGATTATTTGTAGATGTGTATGGCACCTGATGATAAACTTGATTATTAGCAATATGTCCACTTGGAACAATGACTTGTTGAGGTATTTGATTTGACATTAATAACTGTTGAGCCATAAGATTTGCAGAAGATTGTTGTTGTTGTTGTTGTTGAATATGATGCAACATTTGATTATTAATTACTTGTCCAGTACTTGAGTGTATCATCTGTGGAGTCATATATGCACTCATTGGATGCCCATTCGGAATATAATAATTTGGCATGTAACCATTAGCTGCTGCACTATTCATTAGGAGCATGTTTCGATATGTATTCTGCATAACTAGATTATTAGCAACTGTTGTATTTAATGTATCATTAATATTGTAGCCAGTAGAAAGGAACCCATTGGGATAGTAAGTATTTGGTATTAAACCAGTATGCATATAATTAGAAGAATTCTGACCATTCTGAACAAACCCTGTCACATGACCATTGATACTATATGCATTGGGATTTATTCCATAAGGATTATAGTTACCATTATTATATAAATGAGTATTTATATTAGAAACATTAATTTGTGGATTAGATACTGGTACTGATGCTTTCAAGGCTGATCTTTCTTGCATTTGCTGATGTTTTGCCAATAAATCTGTAAAAAGAAGTTATCAATAATTTTTTTAATACTTTTCATAATAATTTTTATTTTTAAAAACTGGTCTGGAAGTTATTAATGAGATATTGGAGATTTAGAATAGTATAAACAAAACAGACAAATGTTTATGTCTGCTATTAAAATTGTAAAAAATGAATGTTTCAAATTATTCAAAACTATTACAAAAACAGGGTAAAAACTGAACGTTTATGCCAAAATTTACGATAAAAATTTTCAAGGAAATTCTTTAGGTTAATTTCTAGTACTGCAAGGACGGAACAGTAAATAGGCATGGATAAAGCATAGTGGTGACGAGGGGGTAAAATTGATAAATCTTACGGTCTAATTGCGACATCCCTGGATTATTGGGATCCATTATTTTCGTGTTTTGGATATCACGGTCAATAAAAGCTATAACAGAATATTGATAGAATTCAAGGATATCTCGTAAAAGTATACATTTACATGTACGTCAAATGTTCATGTAACGTTAAATAATACAACTTTTAATAATAGAACATATTTTCTAGAACAAACGATGCAATATAAAAATCTATGTAACAGAGAGAAGCTCTTCAGCTCTGCTTTAAAGTGCGCAATATCGGAAATAACGTGCTGAATTTAATGTAGGCTACGCAGAATTCATCGTTCGCCTTTCGTACGAAGTTAGCATAAGCTCATAAAGTGTGATCGCATTTTTTATGAGCGGTACACGAGAGTCACAAATCTATCACCTGTTAACTTGATGTTTAAATACTGAAAAAATGCTGTCTACAGTCGATTTGATATTGAATTTGAACAAATTTTTGAACTTATACTTCTTATCCTTATCTTCTTTTTAATCGATGAAAAAAATGTCAGAGAAATACTTTTTTCTGGTCACAAGTGTGTCATAAAACCTGACGTTCCGTATATTTGGTCCTCGAACGATCCCACCAAGCCAGATGTATTTTTGACCACGCGAACTCACTAGTTCTTTTTTAACGGTGATCGCAAAAGCCGAAAATGGTGAGTTTTACACTTCTGCTTTTTAATAGTAATTATGCATTGTAATTAATTGATGTAATGTGTAAAACTTTTCTATGATAAATTAGTTCTAATTGATTTTCTACTGGGTTATTAAAAAGTCAAGTCGAAGTCATTTTCACTTGGAAATTTTTTTGTTTATTCAAAGCTAACCTCTTTAATTGAATATCTAATGTCAATGTTTATTTATAAATGAACTTAAACTGTATTAAATTTATTCTTTCTCAGTTGATCCAAAAACTTTTAATTCATCATCTTTATGTATCATTGGATTCATTATATTTTCTGTATTTGAACTTTAGTTTACCACATTTTAAAGTACCACATGTAGTACTTCATTACGTTTAATAGTATCTTGATGAACACAATATAGTTGTCACTGTAATAAAATGTTGGACTGAAAATTATTCTAATTTTAATGATTATTTATTTTTGTCTTAACAGCCTTTCGAAAGGTTTGTACAAAGTGGCAGAGTTGCCTACGTGAGCCATGGCCCTCACAAAAACAAGCTTGTGGCCATTGTTGATGTCATCGACCAGAACAGAGTGAGTTGAAGTTTGTTATAATGTTTTTTATAATTGATAGTAAATTATCATAGTAATTAACTCAAAACAGTATTATGATGATCCTAATTTTTTGATAGGAATTGCCGGCTGATATTTAATGAAGCCATTTTTTTTCTGAAATTCAGTTTTAGAATTTATAGTTTTCTTTTTTTCCTGCATGAATTAAATGAATTTTTTTTATAGGTTTTGGTTGATGGACCAGCATCCAAAATTCCAAGGGGTCAGATGAGTTTATCTAATTTACATCTTACGAAATTCCGCCTGAAGTTCCCATTTACTGGATCTACCAGAGTTGTAAGAAAAGCTTGGGCTGCTGAAAAAATCGATGAACAGTGGAAAGCTACTGTGTGGGCCCAAAAAGTAGCTGCTAAAGAAAAGGTTTGTTGAATATTTAAATCTTTAGGATTACAGTTCTTGAGTTGACGTATCAATACCTAATTTTTGCATTGATAATTTCAGCGAGCTGCCCTTAGTGATTACGATCGCTTCAAATTGAGGAGAGCCAAACGCGTAAGGAATGCAATTCGTACAGAAGCCTTCTACAGATTGAAGAAAGCTGCCAAAAAAGCAAAAGCAAACAAAGCAGCAGCCAAGAAGTAATTGTTTTTTAAAAAATTTTGAATAAAAAACTCGTTTTCAATTCATATATGTTCGTTTCTTTTTAATCCCTGATTTACAAACATAATTTCATGAATTTTGATTATAAGCTCATCTAAATCATTTTCATCCGAACAAAGTAAAAAAATAATTATAAACCAGTGACTCTAACAATGGTAATCTGAGAAGGTGCTTCATAAGACTTGCTTTCATTATTTTCTTATGTGAAAGCTAAGCTAAAATTTAATGTAGAGACTGTAGCTATTGAATTCTTACAAAAAAAGAATAAAATATTCTGTAGCTAAAATTTTCGGTATTGATTGTAGGAGCTAAGTTTTAAGTATTGAAACCAAGTAGTTTTTTCATTGCATTATATATATCATTAAATTATTATTAAAACACTGTTGATATTCACAGTGATTCCTGATATATTTTTTAAAATTTTGTATACTAGTCTACTACTGCAAGAATTTAGGCTCATGACCTAATAAAAATGAGTTGAAAGCAATAACATCAATACAGCATAATAACAGCAATAACAGCCATGTTTTTTTTGAGTAAGTATGATAAAATAAATTTTTTACTTTTTTTCATGGAATAGGATTCACTTATAAATAAAACAAATATTGTTAAATTTTAAAATTTTTATTTTAAAGTAATAACTTAAACTCGGCTTGGGTACAGCATCTGCAACAAGAAAATAAGAAATGTCATGTTATAATTCATAGTGAAAAACTTGAAATAGTATCATAAAAATTTATGAAAAAATATTAAGAAATAGTTTTCAATTTCATGTTGTTACAAATCAAAATAAACAAAAATAAAATAAAAATTGAAACATTACTTTTTGCATATTCTATGCAACAATAGACCGGTTTAAAACAGTATTAATAAACATAAAATGAACTTACGATTCTGATGCGGTGTCCCATGGCCTTGGCTGGCAAATTCGTCTTGAATTTGGCTCGCACTGAACCACTTGTACCATGTGGGCGGGTGATTTTACCCCAGATAGCCCTCACCTTAGTTTTTTTGGAGGTCTTGCCGGGAACTGACGTCCTGTTCTTGGCCTATAATTAATGATATAACTGTTAAAGTTTTGCTTCATAAAAGTAGACTAAATAAAGGAATGCAAGATTTACAAACCTTGTACACGTATACGCATTTTTTGCCAACATAGAACTCGGAGTCGGTCTTGGCACGAGCTCCTTCGATCTTCAGCAGAGCGGTATTCTCGTGCTGATTTCTGAGACCACGTTTGTAACCGGTAAAGATGGCTTTGGCGTAAAGACGTCCATGCCTCTTCATAGGCCTCCGCTGAAGTTTAACTTCAGCGGCAGCCTCCTTGGGCTGCTTGGCAACCTTAGGCTTGTCAACTTTGTCGGCCATTGCTAAAAAATATCAACAAATTATTAGTCTTCTAGAATAATACCAACTAAGTTGTATCAGCAGCAATGTGTACTAGTGAAAGGTTAGACACATGTGTGTACTGAAGAGTTGTAGGTTAGAAAGTACAATGCAATCGCAGAATTAACATGTGCTAAAATCATCGCTGTTTTACAGTCGATTATTAACAATTGTGAGCTTAAAAAACAGCAAGTATCACGATATCACGAATTTTCACACATTATTCACTCTTATAAACGAACAAGTAGCATGGAAAGTTCCGAACCACATGAGCTAGTGGATTAAAATCTAACAATATCTTATACCAACAAACGGAAATTAGAGATGATTTAAGCACAAATTTCATGAATAACGCATAATTGGTAGATTTTCAAAAATATTTAACGCCGATACCACTAATAATAGTTTTATTTTAAATTAAAAAACACGAGGAACACTAACCGTATCTCGGGTGAAACACGTAAAGAAGAAAGAATTTTACTCGTCGTGACTCGCTAGCGGCGTTCTTTGCAGTCTGGGCAATCGAAATGCCATGCGCATTGCGCGCGCTCCAATTTTTGGATTCGTGGCGGTAGATTTGAACTTTTGCGGCACGCGAGAAAAAAATTAGACGTCAGAGTTAAAGGAAACTGCAAAAATGAAATTGTCCAGAAAAGTTCAAATAAATAGAAAGTATCGGTTGATGAAAATTGTTTTTTCACTAAATTTTCACATCGTGATGAAAGGTTGTTATTGATATTGCAATAACTGTAGATATTGTAGAGTGTGAACTCGATTTAAACAAATTTTACACACATATATTGAATTAAAACTCCAACTCGTACTGTGGCGCAGCATTTATTTGTGACATTGATTGTGCGAAAAATAAAAACATCGAAGCCATACAGCGTCAATCAGCGAAAATTCCACAGCAGCCGAATGTAAATATGCAAAACAAATTTCTTTGCCTTATTCCTTTCTATATACAATTGGTTCAAAACCTGACGAATGCGTACAATTTTTGCTTTGTCCGGGTGTACCATTAATAGAAAAAAGGGGAAGAAAAAAAAAGGTAGAAAAAGAGCGAGTGGGGGCAAGCTTACGCGTCGCCGCCTGTACCGCCGCCGTCGCACGAAAAGTCGTTTTTTCATTATGGCATATACCTATATACACTAGCTTTGCTCGCTTCCGAACTCGTTACATCGTACCCTCGTGACTGCATTCTCTTTGTTGTTTTTTTTCTCACTGTTGTTGTTGCCCTGCTGCTGCGTTTGAGTGTTGTCTCGTCTTGTATACATGCATTGATATAGGCAGCTTTCGTTCTCTTGCGGACAGCGCACGTAGTTGGCAGGCTCGACTGGCCTGGCATTCTGCATGAACAACCTAAACGAAGAAGTTATATTTTCCTCGGAAAATTGATTCTTTTTTGCCCATTGTTGGATGCGTTTAGCTATATAATCGATCGTAAGAGCATTGCGTTACGGACGGCGAAACGAGCTGGCGCACCAAAAAAAAATTTCACGAAAAAAAATTATTTATAAAAAATAAAACGCTAATAGATTTTTTTCATATGTTTATAAAATTCATATTAATAATAATATAATTGTTAAAATAAACTCAAATTACGAGCTCCCCTTATACAGACATCGTCGTAATAGCATCATTTATTTTACCCTAAGAAAACATTTCAAGTGACAAAATTACACTTTCCATTCATCGTTTGTTGTTGAGAAAATGAACTCCTCTTCCACGTTCCATAAATTGGCTATGGAAACTACCTACTTACGTAAAAAAAACTCTTGCCTATTACCCGTATCCAGCGGCCCTACTTTTTTATTTTTACAACGAAAATAACATAAAAAATGCATCGACATCCAACACTGATTAATGCGAAAAATTAGAAAAAAAAAGATCAAGTACGGTAATTGTTTCGTTCGTGAATCACTTATGTAATCTAACATACGGTTTTTTTTGCGTTGCTACGAATATAAAATCAAAGAAAAAATTAAGTAAGAGCTCAGTACCGTTGTTACCAGCAGCAAGCTGAGAGCAGCGCCCATAATATCAAAAATGGTGTCGATATTCGCGACGTTTAGCGCAATCGTGATGGCTCTAAATGGCCTAATTTTGCCGATAATACTCGACTCAGTTTGGCCCGCGAGAACCGATCGGAATCGGAGTTTTACGTACGAACCGGAAATTGGTTTCAAGTTCTTAAACTTCCGTGCCAATTCCATCGAAAATTCCACCATATATTACAGCCTGTGCGAAAATCAGTTCAGCGAGCAGAATACATGTACTATGCGTCGAGTTCATGCAAATTTCTGGGGAGTCAGCCCGAGAGTGGATGAGTGTAACGTCACGCTGCGCTCCGACCCCGGCGACTACGTCGTTCCGAATGATGTTCGTATTGCTCCTCTGAGCAAGGATCGAGCGATCGTGACATGGTTTCACAGCAGTCATATACGATTCAGTATCATCAATTTTTCCAATTGTAAAGTCAAAACGTCCAAACTTTCGGAAGATCTTGATCGACTATACAAATCGACTATTCTAGTATCGTTTGATTGGTGGCTCACAAAAATTGATTATTTTCTTACAAATCTCAGCTACGATTCTCTCAAAGGAGAAGAATATTTCGATGTTTTTACATTAGACGAGAAGAACTTTAACAAGTCTTCGGTCAATACTGAAGGAATTGTTTTGAAGGTCGATACGTGGCTTTACCCAACTTACTTAGGCCACCCAGCGGCTATCATTCCATTGTCAAAGGACAAAGGTTTTTTGTTTTTGGAAGCATTGTACAAAAAGCCGTGGTCACTCATAAGGGGCTCTTCCATTCATTCCATGGATAAATTGATAGTATCTCATATTCAGCCCAACGGTAATTGATAAGGAAACATGTTTTGATTTTCGAAATATAAATTAACACTAATGAGACATTTTTCACGCTTCAAGGTCAAAGACAAAATTTAACTCGCGAACAGGTGCAAAATCCTGTGTTCTCCATGGCCAATGGATTAATCGGCATATGCGGTCGACATAACTATGACACCATAAAATGCACACAGTTCAAGCTCGGCGACAAAGAGATCAACTGGTTTTCAGTCATTAACGTCGATCAGGGGCAAGTCCCAGCCATCTATAATTTGCCAAGGGGCGAAGGAATTTTGAGTTACATGAAGTACAATACCGATAATAAACCCGACTTCTCTTCTGCCAGGCATCTATTGAAAATCGGCCTAGATGGAAAAGTCAAGCAGTTTGTGAAGCCTGATTTGCAGTGCCCATTGGGTCTTGCTTACAGTTTTCAAAAAGTTTTCGAAGACTCTCGGGGCAATTATTGCACGAGCTTCGCTTATATAACATATGCTGAAAGTCTTTATAAACATCCGATACCGCATCTAAAATTCCAATCGAATTGCTTTGAACCGAAAGATTTTAAAAATCTCACTGTTTCGAAACAAAAGATAGAAGGAAAATGATCCTTCCAACCATTAGCAATGGAATAATAATTATCAATCATCTTCGTGTAAACGAACATTTGCATGTGACTATTCTATAATTTAATTTAAAATAAAATGTGTAATAAAATGTGTAATAAAGTCTTCTTCCTGGAGGTCGACGAAATGTTTGTCGTCGAAAGGCCGATCATCAACTCGGCCTTGGAAGTGAGTTTTTTTACTTTTATGTACAGTACTATTTTTGATAAGATTAGAAGTAAATAAATCATTAATCTATATAATGCTGAGTTATTTAACTCCACTCTTGTAATTTGTAGTGCTTTTTTATACTACACTCCGGCGTCGACACTGGTTTACCAATCACGGCGCCAATCAAACGGCTTTGAATCAATTTTTTTTGAGAAATATTTTGTCACTATTTTTCACTTTAATTTAATTCAAAAATTTGTCAACGAATCAGAAGCTGTTTTAAAATAATTATTTTTTAAGTTAATCAGATTTTATTATCAGATCTTATTATCAGAGATTTATTATCAGATTTATTATCAGATTTACAAGTAGTAAGTTTTAAACAAAGTATTTACAAGCAATTCCTTAACTATGATCTTTTCTTTTCAGATCGTACAAAAATAAAATATAAAAGCCAGTTAGCTTATTGATTTGCTTTAATAACAATGAAACTGACTCGTTTATTATATTGATCAGTGTCCAATGAAAATAATTATACGTCATTACAACCGTAAAGTTTGTGGTTTTTTGGGATAAAGTCGTAATTTTCTACATTAAAATAATATTAATGTGTATACTAATATATACCGTTGGATTTGTAATAAAAAATCCTAAAACTTGAAGTGTCAAACAATTTTTTAGACTTTTCCCGTTCATTTTTCACTCGCTCTAAAGTAAACTATGCGAAATTTGCGAGAAAAAAACGATCAAAAAAGTGTATTTTTTTCAATGAAATCTTACTCCTTGGTCAAAACTGACTACGGCATTCGATTTTCCAGACAAAAATACGTAAGAAAATGTATTGTTAAGATTATTTTTACCCTCAAAAAAGTTTGAAATAATTTGAATTGTTGTCTGATTTTGATCTTTTTTAAGAGACAAACTTCAAAAATCTATCGACACCGGTTCCCGACACTTTTCAGCGACTCTAAACCCGGCTTACTTTTCTTAAAGACTTGAACAAAAGCGAACTACCCCAATAAATACTTCTACGTCATTTCAAAACCTTCTGTACCCTCATTTATGGCCAAGAGAAGTGCCTTTTCAAAGTGATCATAGCATTCGTAGAATGGTAAGCATAGTTCATTAGCACTGGAAAAATAAAATGTTCAACGTTGATTAATTAATGAATCAAAATTAAAAATCAAAGCGCGAGGTAGTCTACAACGTACCATGTATGAGTGGTGGGAAGATCTCCGAAGGTCGCCGAGGTATTGATGAGGAATCGTGGATTGAGCTGCTGGAAGCCTCCAGGAGGCAGTTGCGAGCATCCCGTGGTGAACTGCAGAAGACGCGCCATTTCCTCCTGCGTGAAATTGCTCACCGCCGTCCAAAACCAGTCGAGCACTTTTCGAAACTCGGCCGAGTTGCAATGAGTGTCGTGGTGAGCTCGCAGGTCTTCGGCGCTGTACTTTTCGGTTCCACGCCACAGAAACTGGAATGGTATGAAAAGGAAAAGTGTATAAAATTTATTGGGTATAGTATTTGCGCGCAAGCTGCAGTTCGATTATTACCTCCAGTTCATTTTCGTTGAAAATCCTAAGAAGTTTGAGGGGAATGAGTTCGTTCAGGCCTTTTAAAAAGTGATTTACTTTATTACGTATTGAGTTATTAGCTAATCTGTGCTGTGCCAATACATCCAAGTATCGATCTTTAGTGTCGTTAGTTACGCACACATTTCGACCATGAGGAATCAGTTCAACTGTCTGAAAAAATGGCAAGAAAATTGTAATTATCGTCCACTGTTAAAATTTTCAATTGCTTATAGTTACTCACATTTATCAATTCACCGTCTTTGCTGTACTCCTCTTCCGCAAAGAACAGCTCCATTCCCTCGACGTCATTTTCAAGAATGTACTTGATTTTGCTCGCGTACAAATCAGGATCGTCCATCTCGAAATATTTGTAATGCACTCGCAGGCCGATAATCTGCGCCAGGAACGAGCGAGTGAAGCGGGCTCGCACGAACAGTCGAGACCGTCCACCGAACGCCGACTCGTAGATGCATTTGCCGACGATTTTGCCGGCGAACTCGTAATACTTCAGATCCCTGGAAGCTGCAGGCTTTTTACTCGGATGAACTAGAGCCCGTTGCGATTCTCCGAACGATTCGAATAAACCGTTTTCCGCATCGAATAAGGCGGCGCTTATGAGCTCGAACCATTCGCGGCTAACTCCACCCCTATCGACACCTACAAAAAATTATATGTTTTGATTGAAGATTTTGAAGAATTCGGTCGATTCACGATTCGATTGAAATATTCACCTTCTTCGCCTTCGAATGTGATTTCGAACTTTTGAGACCAATTCGCAGTGGAAAATCTTTTAGTGGCCTTCAATGACTGTAGATGGATAATAACTTTGTTGGTCAATCACACGATTAACTCAGGAGTGGTAGTAGGATATATAATATACCGGAGCATGATATCAACAGTGTAGTGTATTATTCCCGAAAAGTAATTTGTTTTATTTTCCAGTACTCACCGATTTTAGAAGTTTTTCCCGTTTAACTTTTATCGTCTTTGGTTTATACTCGTTTCTATAACGGAGCTCTCTAATCTTTTGATAAAAATACTCTCGCTTTTTTGTAAAAATTTCACTGCCGCCAACTTTTTTTACTAAAAACTTTGCAAGAGTAGCCGCTATCGTATCACAATAATCCGAGACCAGCTCGACCGGACGTTGAATTCCGTCGTCAAGTATAAACGAATCGTAACCCTCGTGCTCACTGGCTGGCCCATTTAAATAAAACTGAAAACGAGAAGAAAATTAATGTTATTGGATGATTAAATGGTCGCCGAGATTTTAATTTCTTTACCTTAGTCGAAGGATAGAGCATGATAGTGATCACACTTTTCGGAAAGAATTTGAATCGATACTCTTTGATTGTGAGCTGCTTTGAAGAAATAAAGCACTGGACCGTTTTAGGTTTTGTGCACCTCTCGCCCTTCCATCCGAGAAGCTTGGCAGCGTAGCAAATAGTAGAGCGATTTGAATCAACCATTTTCTGAACTGCTCCATATACGTGACCTATCAAAGTACATTTTCGCGGCGTTAAAATTCATTTTCCTCGAGAAGTACGTACAATTGTTCTATCGATTACTTACTTTTTAAAACGATGATGCCGAAATTACCGTTTCGCAGCTGCGTACCATTGAGTCTGACGGACGCATCGTAGAAGCCGGCCTTGGCGAAGCTGACCTTCAAGCAGATCTGCCGGCGAGCCGCGTCGTACTCGAGCGACGTGTCGCCACAAAACTCCGCCGGGAAATGTCGGTCCGGCGAAGTACCGAGCTGTAAAAATCAAAATGAGTTTTTAAAAAATTCTGCAATTCCGCGTGAGAAAAATTGTAGAAACGTCGACTCACTTGATTTATTTGTATTTCGTAGCCTTCGACGGGCTTTCCGTTCACGTCGAAGACGCAGACATTTCCGAACTCGTCACGGGGCTCGATCATTATCGGGTAGGGCATGCCCAACCGGCAGACGATTATCGAGCTTTCTCGCACCAAGATCGTCCTATTTGGGTCCGGTTGTCCTGTCACCCAAGAGTAAAACAAATAACATTAATATCATTCTATAGAAGGCAACATAAAAAAACTTTACTTACGGGGTAGAAACCTATGAATATGTGGACTTCCGGTAATCGGCAAGGTACCTATGTGCACATCTATGCGATACCTTCCAGCTTGGCGTGTCTTAAATTTGACTGTGACTATGTTGAACATATCTGGCTCGGTACAGATTTCCGTGAAAGCTGCTATATTACTGGCGCCCTGTCTCACCTTGACCACAAGATCGGCGATATCCTTGTCGCAGACTGGATAAGGACGTCCGTTATTCTGACGAAACTGTTCGGGCACACGTGCACAGAAAAAAAATTAAAATGTCATCATAAGAAATAAGAATAAACAATACTTGATAACTATTCTACAACTCAAACCTTAATTGGGCAGTTGAAGATAGTTCATAATTGACATAATAACATAATATTTTGCATTTTTCAGCACTGGATAGTTGGAGAGTAAGAGATAGAAAAATTATATCAAAACACAACACGATCGACGCTCGCAAACTGAGTCAAAAGTTACTCTCAGTAACATTGAATGTACAATCTTCCGAAAAAAGTGTTGAACGAAAGGAGAGCTGGAATAAAGATGAAAACGTAGAAATAGAAAAAAATGATATTCTATATGTTTAAATTGGCGTACCTTGATGTAAAAAGTCATTGTCTCGCCTACAAACGTTGGTTCCTCCCAGTCGAAGTGCATGCGAACCATGTTGTGCAGCAGGTATTTTCTCATGCCGATGCATTGAATCAGCGGTAACGCAGATTTAGGCTTTCGCAGGACCCCCGGGTTGGCTAACATGATCGGTATTTATACACTATCACGTATAAGAATTGCTAAATGCTTCGAGCAGACGTTTTTCCACTAGACAATCACTTTTTCCTCGTTAAATCGATTTTCGGACCTCGAGAAATTGTTTCGAAGCAAAGCAAACTTTTTTGATTTCGCGCCTTTCGAGTATGCGTACAGTGTATATTGTATTGTTATAAAAAACACAATTGCCGATGAACAGCTCTGAATAAGAAAAAGAAAAAAGGTGCCAAGCGATGGCACCATACGTTCACACTTGTACCGTCTGAAACGAAGTTTCCATACAAATTTGAGAAGTAACACCGGCAAGCTGCACTTGTTATGCGCATGCTCTAATTACACGTGCTGCCCGAGCATTTGATGTAGTTGTAGCAGTACAAAAAGAATAGTAAGAGGGCGAAAATGCAATCGATTCAGAGAGAGAAATAGAGAGAGAAAAAACAAAATATGGTCAACTTCATGAAGATCTGTCATTATGAGGTATGTTTATGTGATGGATGAGCCTATTAAAACGCCTGTGTACAGTACATACATGGATGTACGCACGCCTTTCTAAATTTTTCATACGTGTATGGGTGTAGTTGTAAAGTGTGAATTTTTATGTATATGAGATTGAATTGATCATTTTGAAAGAAACGCTTTTCATTATGGTTACACTAAAAATGACCTGGGCATCGGGAAAATTTCTTTTTTTTTAACACTTCACTTGTCTCTGCTCGTAATGATTTAAGTTTGATTTGAAGCATTTAGTCCAGCTCCAAGCTTTCACATTTATAATCATTAGAATTTTTTATTAGCAATAACTTTTACTAATTTTTCAAAGTATAAGAAAAACATTAATTTAACAATAAGTTTAAAAATAATTTTGTCTAAAAAATTTTAGGCCGGTTTTTCGAAGCAGCGTGCTAGGCTAATTAAACAAGAAATAAGGCGTCGATCTACATGTCATTAGTAATAAGTCATGCGCAACATGTATGTATAATGTGGGTGTAAGTATATATCGTCAATCAGAAAAAAATGCATGCCTTTTGTCCCGGCTTGAACAAGCTTATGGAAATCGAATTAGACTTTGCTTGCAACTTTCACCTAATCAGGATGTGACCTACTTTTTTTTATACGTTAAAGAAATTATTTAGAAAATCGTTCATAAGAGATCATAATGTCAATGTTGTAGAACATGAAATACGACCATCTATCAATTTCAAGATTTTGTCATTGATTCATTACTAGTATTGATTTTTGTCTTTTATAGCTTTTTTATTATTAAGGGAAATCGTTAATTTCACTCTGGTTATTTTATGATGCTTCAAACAATATATATTCTCTAAAATAAAAAGACTTAAAAAAACATAATTTAACATCAAAAACAAAAAAAAAGCAATATATACCAATATAGCGGAGGACGAAGAACGAACGAGGGAATAAAAAAAAGCTGCACACATTCGTCGTAAGAGTCGCAATTTTTGCCTGATATTTGTTTTATTTTATTCAAAACTGTGCATAACTATAAAATTGTTGATTAAATTAATTACAGAGGACGAGATCGGGCGATGCTAAAGAGTACAGCTGTCATAAACATAAGATACATCTAAATTCCTAATATTAATGATTAATAATAATTCGCGAGCAAGGTCTAACTCTTGTCAAAAGATCGTGTACGCATTATAGATGTCTTTTCATGCATGCACAAGTCAAATCGAGCGAGTCTCATCCATCTTGTTCCCCGTGCGGCACGTACAGTACGTCTGGTGGTGGTGCTGCTGCTACTTCTTGCGCTAATCGTTATACACGCGTTGTTTCTTGCCGATCGCGTCCCACGCGCACATGCCAATACGCGCGTATATCGCGGCACTGCCTGCGACAGTGCGGAGTATAGGATGGTACGCGAGAGTAGCGGATCCGACGACCAACTGCAGATGTTACTCGCCCTCGCTCGCACACCCCTGCACGGATCCGGAGAAAAATATGTATATGTGTTTGGCTGTGGGGGTGTGTGTGCGTATGTGCAGCCCTGACGGTGGTGACGACAACCCGGCTCATTGGCTGCATGTTCTCTTCACTCGTGAACATATATTCCGACGCGTGTTTACATTATATGAGACAGATACGCGCGGGGCCATCTAACTCGCGCGGTAATTCCCACGCTTTAATTGCTTTATGGCTTTCTGTGTTCCGTCTTCTTTGTATGACGCACGTGGTGCCGGTTTTATCTCTCTAGACTTTGAAGCTACTAATCGACGAAGATCGCCTATCTCGCGATCCATAAAATAAAAGCACGGAAACCCGACACTTGTTGAAGAGAGACGTTAAAATTTCTTACAATTATTATATCTAAATTACTTAATTATAAGCTATTAAGAATTCGTTACTTAGTTGATTATCTTATTCAATTATCTTTAGCTACTATTTTGTCATTGTTGACATGCACCCACGCAGGCCTGTCCGATTTCGCGTACGCCGCTTTGTGTTTTATGTCTTAATGATCGACGAACATGCCCAAGAAGGCGTCGCACTTTTTGCAGTAATGCTTGCTCTTCCTGTACGTCTCGGAGCAGCAGAGATAGCACGAACAGGGGCAGCAGATTCTGCAATTACGAAGAGACAAAATATTAGAAATGTTTTAAAGTCTTATTCATATTTAATTTTTTTCGTATATTAATATGCTTACACAGAGAAGCAGAGAAGGGCCATGAGGCTGTTTTTGGCCGCTGTATTGTGACACTCGACGTGAGTGTACATCGTCTCATGACAGTAGGGACACTCCATTCTCATGGGATTCGGTCCAAATTGGAACGGCGGATTGACGATCTCTTGGCCTGTAATTCAACAAAAATATTAATTTCCGCGTTAAATTGAGTCGCCATTTGCTACGATTTTAACGAGTTTGATAAGCCAATACTTACTGATAGCCGATGGTTGAAGCGTTATTACTGCGTTCCCGCAATCGTTTGAATTTTTACATCTTGCGTTAGGAATATTTTGACTGCTGCATATGGCCGATACGGTCGATACAGTCGATATATCTGATTGCGATCTTACTGGGCACGATAGAATCGTGGGCTCAAGAATCACTCCGTTGTTCGATGCGCATTCGATCGCGCTTCCGTTGATTTCAGATTTTGCTTCAGTCTCAAGAGATCTCTCCTCCCTCACAATGGAATTTTCTTCAATCACTTGTGGTTCTTCCTTAACAACTTGTTCCTCGTGATCGTCAGCCTCGACTTTTGCCTCATTTTCAGCCATTTTTGGTGTATCACTCTGAGCTACATCGCTCGACTGATTCTGCACTTGCTCTTGTTCTGAATCTTTCTTCGTAATTTCCTCCATTTTCAAAACTTCTTGTACTTGAGACATTTTGTTTTTCACTGAGCTTACACACGGTTAAACTACTAATATTTTTTTTTTAAGTCTAGGAACGATGTGCTCGTCGTGCCGGTCGTGCTTGTACTAAGACTTCCGAAAAAAAATCTGGACATGTAGGCTCTAGACGATGGCCTTATCTCGTAGACTCGTTACCACCGGCAATCACCGCGCCGCCACTCGAGTAGCCCAATAAAATAATTAAGATTCCTACCGAACGCCCACGGACGATTTTTCGATATCTGATATACAGAGCACACCTCCGGACATATAACAGAGTATGTATCTTGGCCAGCATACCAAATCGGGTAATTAAAAGTTAATTATCGTGTCATTGAACGTGAGTCCATTTAATTATAAAAAAAAACTTCATTACTAAATTAATCTCATTATTTCGTCATTGTTTCCTTTTGGTTACCTTAAATATATTATACTAGTACTATAACGATAAGTCACGCGCGAAAATACAAGTGTACCTTCGTGTTTTGTGTGTACGTGAGTGTGTGTGTGTGTGTGTGTGTGTGTGTGTGTGTGTGTGTGTGTGTGTGTGTGTGTGTGAGGCTGCGTGTGCCGTATGCGCTCTATATATTATATATTATGCCGATATAATAGCGAATATAACGCACGGGAAGATTGGCCTAGTGGATCTCTCGAGCTAAGGATCTCGAGATTCCAACTATAAATCAAAATTTGCGTTGCTCATATCAATCGAATTAGTGCAATGTCCTGCGTTTCGCCTGCATACAGCGCGCGTCACGTGTTTAGTTGTATGTACATGTGTGTGCTGTATACATGCGCGCGTACTCCACTTAACCGCGCCCCAAATCACGTTAATGAGACATCACCGAACTCGTTGAAAATATAAGTACGCTCGTGTGTGTGCGTGTGTGTATTTCGTGTATAAATATTTGTGTGTACGGTATGCATCGATATCACGCGACGCACGCACGCACACACACACACACACGCACAAAGTACATACATACACGCACACACACACAATTCTGCAAAATTGAATTTCAAAACGCCGCTCTGATAAGGCCTGGCATAGTGGCTTGAGTGTAGCTTTTTCTCTCTCTCTCTCTCTCTCTCTTTCTCTCTTAATCGAGGCGCGAGCTCTTGTATTTACGTGACTTATGCCACACAGACGTACAATTGTTGTAATTTGTCAAGTATAAAAGAGAGAGAGAGAGAGCTTGGGAAACGGGTTGCGGGATTCTACTGCCGTTGGCTGCCTTTGCTTAGTGCCGATTATTCTCGAGCTTTCTCCACCGTCAACCTCGTCGTCGTCCTCTCCTTCCTCATCATCTTCGTAGTCATCGACGTCGTCGTCTTCATATATATATTCATTTCTCATTTGCTTTATAACGTTATATATATATCAAATGTATATACACAAGCGGTGCTCTTGCATTGGCTTAGTTAGCGCAAGCTTACACACATACATCCAACCTGCATATTATTATATACATTAATAAAGCTCGATGCGCGCCACGACATTGCCGTATTTATTTCGAAAATGCTGCATATTGTTTCCATGATTCAAGATTCAAGAGCTCCTTGAGGAAGAGCTCCTTGTCATAATGAGTCGAAATTAGCTGTCCGAGCGATCTTACATTATCGTACTATAC